ATCCACGTGCGCGCGCGCATACATACACACACACACACACACACACACACAGATTGGAGGAAATTGTCCTCTTTCTCAGATGAGACAAAGTAAACCTGTAAAAAGAAAATAAACAGAAGCTCACATGCTGACGGTAAACCCCAGGAATACTGGATCCTAGTCTAGGCTGTTTTCTGCCCACATGGCCACCATCATCCACTATCAACCATGCACATTCACTTTATAGATTTGTCGAAGAAAAAGCTGGCCCCTCATAGCTTACCCACTCCTTTCTCTCCATCTTCCTTCCCTGCCTTTTCCTCTAGTACTAGTTTGAACTCAAGGCCTTCTACTTGATGGGCTTGCTTGTTCTTTGGTGCTCTAATGCTTGAGCAATACCTCCAGTCCTGCTTTTTGTTGGTTATTTTAGAGAGGAGCTCAGTAGACTTTTCTGCCAGGGTTGGCCTCAAACTATGATCTTCTTTCATATATCAGCCTCTTGAGTAGCTAAGATTACAGGCTTGAGCCACTTATGTCCAGCCTCAGACTATGATCTCCATGCGTCCCCTGGGTGATTGTAATGCAAGAAGGGGATGTTGGTATAACATGGAAGATATTTAAGCTTGCTGTTGCTTCACAGGACTTTGGGGCCAATAAAATAGGAAGGAAGGGCTTCCTCAGTTTCTTCAGCTCACTTCCAAGAGCTATACTTTGTAATCTTCTTGTGATGTCACAATCTGGCAAAAGTTTTCAGATTATCCCCAACCCAAAAAAGAAAATGTCCCTTGTGTCTGTACAGCAATATTCTCTGCAACATTGCTTTTATTATCATTTGAAAGTTGCTTTTTAGTCCAAGACAACAAGCATGCTTTCATGTCTCTGGGCAATTTACTTGGCTTGGGTAATAAAAACAAGGATTTCTATGACATGAAGACAAAGGGCAGCTATGTAACTTGATAGCACTTCTTAAGAGAAGGTAGCATCAGCTTGTGGGTCTGCCTGACCTATTCCATAAACCTCCAGAGATTTATCAAATGATCCCAGGACTCACTTGATGCAGTCCTTTAGTGTTGTTTCTTGGTTGTGAGGAAGCTTACAGTCTTACCATTGAGGCACTGAATATAGAAGATGAATCACTAGGGGAGACCAGTAGATAAAACCTGCACTTCCTAAATCAGTGCCTGAGGGGATCAAGTTAGTGAGTTCTTTGCTTCAAAGAGAATGCACTAGAGTGCACATTCAACTGGTGTAGAAAAAAAAATCATCTTTACACCACCTTTGGTTTTTATGGTGTAAGAGGAGAAATGAGATTTCTTAAACCCATCCTTACTATCACAGGTTTAACAAACCTGGTGAAGTGGGAAGTTGATCTGAGAGAAGACAGGGACTATATGAGGCTGTCACTGTGTGGGAAGATCAGATACTGGGTGGGTTTTATTTGTGATTGTTGTGTAAGTGGTGGGAAACTCCTGTAAGTAGATACTGTGTGTGGAGACTCCTATAAGAACTAAACTAAGTAAAAAAAAAAAACTCCAACAACAAAACCCAAAGGTCCAAGAGAAGTTTAGGATAATAGACATGAACCCAAATAGCAAAGTTTCTTAGAACAATTTTAAAATGGGTAACTTTTTTCTATTTTGCTTTAAATTTATTTTTTTTTGCATTTTTAATTGTTACTATAAAGGTAATATACAGAGGGATTGCAGTTACATAAGTCAGGTATTAAGTACATTTCTTTTTGGACAATGTCACCCCTTCCTTCACTCTCTCCCAGTTTTTCCCTCCCATCCCCACCCCCAAGTTGTATATTTAATTTTCAACATAGTGTCCAGTGAGTACCACTGCTGCATTCATTCACCCTTTGTCCCTCCATTTCTGTTTTCCCTCTTACCTACCCAAAGACAGATAAATAAGCAAACAAGACAAAAGGAAAAGAAGACAAAAAACAGCAACAAAGGAAAAAAAAACCCTCATTTCCATTTCCTGGAGTTCATTTCGGTGCATATTATTTCATATGATCAGATGCACATAGGCATTGGACCTTTAACTCTATAGTGGACTACACAAGAAGTATTTCACAGAGGGGCTAATTGCACATTGCGATATGATAACTTGGTCCAGTAGGTATGCGTGTGGAGTTCATCAGACATTATTAAGGGCTAGGAGGCTTTATTTATTTATTTTTATTGTGAAAATACTGTACAGAGGGGTTACAATGGGCAAGGTAATGAGTACATTTATCATCAAGCATTGTTGCCTCCTCCTTTGTTTCTCCTCCCCTCCCCCGGAGCCAAAGTTGTAAAGTTTGTTTTTCTTTTTTTTTAGTCAAAGTGTTTATATTTATTCATAAATTAAATTAATTGCAGTCACTTCAATGAATGAGATTTTATTTAGGATAACCTTAAGAAAAGCATTCACCTGAGGCATAATATTTTTACAACTTATGGTCAGAATGAAAGGCTTAAATTCTTTTTTTTATTGTGAAAATACTGTACAGAGGGGTTACAATTACATGCGCAAGATAATGAGTACATTTCTTATCAAGCATTGTAGTCTCCTCCTTTGTTTCCCCTTCCCATCCCTTAGGCTTAAATTCTTTATCAAAATGAACCGCACTGTCTTCTTTGATTATTGAATGTTCTGGTTTATTATGTTGTTTTATTTTGTTTTTTGTTGGCTACGGGCCTTGAACTCTGGCCCTGGGTGCTGTTCCTGAGCTCTTCAGCTCAAGGCTAGCGCTCTACCACTTGAGCCATAAGGCCACTTCTGGTTTTCTGAGTGGTTTATTGGAGATAAGAATCTCTCAGACTTTCCTGCCGAAACTGGCTTTGCACCACGATCCTCAGACCTCAGACCTCAGCCTCTTAAGTAGCTAGGATTACAGGTGTGAGCGTCTGGTGCCCAGCTATGTTGTTCATTTTTAAAATCAATATATACTTAAAATATTTAGTTCCAATTGTTAAATCTCAAGAATTAATATCATTCAATTAGTGAACAAGACATTTTTTTGCCTTAATTCTTTTTTTTAATTGTGAAAATACTGTACAGAGGGGTTACAATTACATGGGCAAGGTTAAAGTTGGTTTTCGACATAATGTCTTGTACATCTCATTGTTGCAATGGGTCCACCTTCCCCTCCACAAATTATACCTACACCAAATACAGTGAGAACAGGGGTTATACTGTGGGGGAGGGACATATAAAGCAACAAAGAAATATCTTATAAATATGTTAGAAACAATAGCAAAAAAGAAAAACCATTTGAGTCCTTATCTTGGGGTTCATTTCTGCTTGTCTCAGACATATATTAGTTATTGCAAATAAGGGAAATCATGGGACCAATGTTTCTTTGGGCCTGGCTTACTTCACTTCATATAATTTTTTCCAAGTCTTTCCATTTCCTAACAAATGGGACAATGTCATTCTTTCTGATGGAGGCATAGAATTCCATTGTGTATATATACCACATTTTCTTGATATATTCATCTACTGAGGGGCATCTGGGTTGGTTCCATATCTTAGCCATGCTAAATAATGCTGCAATAAACATAGTTGTGCTGGTAGCTTTAGTATGGGCTTTTTGTGATCATTTGGGTAAATGCCCAGAAGTGAGATTGCTGGGTCATAGGAGAGCTCTATGTGGAGTCTTTTGAGGAACCGCCATACTACTTTCCATAGAATGAGTTCGATAGTGAACTTTCTTTCAATTTCATTGAAGAGTTCTGCTCTTCAAAGCTCTGTTTTGAAGGCCTTGTAGAATTCTGCTGTAAATCCATCTGGTCCTGGGCTTTTCTTAGATGGGAGGTCTCTTATTGCTGTTTCTATTTCAATGCTTGATATGGGCCTGTTAAGATGGTTTAACCCATCTTGGTTTAGTTTCGGCATGTCGATATTTGCTAGGAAAAGGTCCATTTCTGCCAAGTTCTCAAACTTATTAGCATAAATGTTTGAGAAGTATTCCCTTATAATGTTCTGAATCTTGGTTGTTTCTGTGGTAATGTTTCTATTCTCATCTCTGAGTTTATTTATTTGGGTGTGTTCTCTTCTTTTTCTGATAAGATTTGCTAAGGGTCTGTCAATTTTGTTAATTTTTTCAAAGAACCAACTCTTCATTTTGTTGATTCTTTCTATGGTTTTTTTGGATTCTAATTCATTTAATTTTAATTATTTCTTTCCTTCTACTGCATTGGGTCTAGGAGGCTTTAAGTAGGATGAAGACTTGGTGTTGATAAAGTAGGAGAAATATGGTCGTATGATAACAAAAGTTGGTGACTTATTTGGCCCAGATGGCAGGTAAGAAGGTGATGATGAAGTGCCAGATTGCCCGTGTGGACAGCAGAGGTAATTGTTGGGTTTCTCGTGCAGAAATCTGGCTACTTAGAGTGTCCATTCTGCCTTTAGCACTTGCTGTTTTATCTTAGCAAAGACTTGTGAGGCTCTGAAATAGTCTCAGCTATGTGTCTGCCCTTTAAACTGTATTAAATTTTGAAAGATGCATTTTGAAGAAAACTCTATCTTCAACTTTTTTCCAATATTTGAAATGAAAAGTATGTCTTTTTTCACTAGCAAGCTACTAAATGATCAAATTATGAGTTTCATTAAATGATAAAGATCATAGTGATTGTGTACCTAAAACTATATTAGACAGTGTGGATTAGGTATAAGACCAAAACAAAGGTCTCTGATTGTGTTCAATCACCTTGACATGATTCCTTCAATGGGAAAATGGCTATGATCTAGGCAATAGGCAGTAATATCACTGGAGCTCAAGTGTGAGAAGACTTGTGGTATGAATGGACAGTGTGTTTACCGTAATTCTAGCCACATTTCCTGCTTTCACACATTCATCATCTTAGTATCACATAGTAATCTTTCTCTCTCTTTGTCTTTCCTTCCAACCCATTAATGTGTTGTTTTCTTATACCCTTGTGTATTGTAACATCTGAAAGTCAGTCCAGATTTGTCATGTACTTGCATGACCAGTTCCACGGCCTCATCCTAAATTATGTTTCTTATTCCAGAACATTTCTGCTGCCATGATAGCCATGCAAAGCCTGGGAGAGACCACCTTGGAGGCTGGCTTTGGGGTACCGCAAGAGGGGCAGCCTGCAGCTCTGCATTCATACTTATGGAAAGGGCTGGCGGAGAAGTTCTTGAGGGGGGAACCCAAAGTCCTAGGGGTAAGTCAGCTGTGGAGCTGCGAGAAGGAGCAGTGCCCAGTGAATGGCCCACTTCTCAGTCTGGGGCACACTTTCCCCTGTGAAGCTGACTAGGCATCAACACTCCGGGCCTCAGCAGTATTTGATTTTTCAGGTTTTGTCATTTGAAAAATGGTATAATTCTTTCGCATCATACTCTGTTCAGTTGTCTTAAAAGTGAAGTGACTGCATATTAATCTCTGTTATGGATCATCAGGATTAATTGTATTAACTTCCATATGGACAAACAGCCAAAGAAAATGAGTACACCTGCCAGTCTCCCTGCATGGCCTGCCGAGTGATTGGTGGATCCATGTGGTCCCTTTACATCCCATACCCTCTCTAAGCCTGCTCCTCAGAATACAAGAAATATGGAATCCCTTGAGCATTTACATCTGCAGTCTCAGGAGAGCTGCCTACAAGAAAGAGAAAGTTTGAAGAATGGCAGCTAAAGGCAAATTAAGAGACGTTGAATATACAGGTTTATTGTTTGCACAAACTCCAAACCACTGGGAAAAAACATTGTTGTGGTTGCTTTTTTCCACTACTCTAATGAGTGTGTGTGTGTGTGTTTACATATATGTTTGTATGTTTGCATGTGTGTGCTTATATATGCATGTATGTGTGTTTATATATGACACATATTATAAGTTTTGGAAAATGTTATATATGATAATAAAGCAATATATAAAATATAATATATAGTATATAAAACAATAAATTACATATATAATATAATTTTTAGAAAATGAAATATAATATGTAAAACAAAATACAATGTATTATATATAAAATAAGATACAATATATAATATACATAATTTTTTTTGTCAGTCATGGGGCCTGAACTCTGGGCCTGGGCGCTGTCCCTCAGCTCTTCAGCTCAAGGCTAACACTCTACCACTTGAGCCATAGCACCATTTCCAGCTTTTTTTTGCTTATGTGGTGCTGAGGAATTGAACCCAGGGCCTCATGCATATGAGGCAATCACTCTACCACTGAGCCACCTTCCCAGCCCTATAATAATTTTTGGAAAAAAATTACTTTCCATGAAGTAGGTCATATATGTTGACATGTGCTGGATATATATGTATATACACAATATATAAATATAAGTATTTTAATATTTTAATAAGTATATATTTCAATATATGAATAAATATTTAAAATTAAATTTGCTTTTAGAGTAGTTTTAAGTTCCCAGGAAAACAGAGTGGACCATACCGACATATCACATAGATCCTCTGAATCCACACGTGATCAGCCTTTCCCTCTCTTTTCCCATCACTGCTGCCTTTGCAACAATGGATGAACTTCTAATGACCCACTGTCTCACTTGAGGCTGTGTTTGTATTGCTGGAAAAATTGTCTTGAATGTCGGGAATTTCTAAAGGAAACAGGTGTATAGGATTTGTAATTTTGGTGGCTAGAACAACCAAACAGTAAAGTTATGGCATCCTGATGATAGGATCCCTGTCTGCATCACAATCTATGGGGAAGTGGACAGGAATGGGGCCATGTGCAGAGAAGGCCAGCCACACAGTATAGCCTGAATTGATAACAACTTGACCTTAGGAGGACCGAGCCGCTCCCTTGCAAGGATGATTCCCGGATGACTTAGCTATCATTCAGTAGGCCCAAACTCTTAGGGATTCTACCATCTCCATACTAACAGACATGGATCGTACTTTCAGCACACAAACCTTTGGGGGGGAGGGGGGGAGGGGGGGGAGGCAAACCAGATTGAAACAACAGGCATGTTGTAAAATGCTTCCAAGTGACTGTGTCATTGTGAACATTTCTAAACAGCAAGGTTCCTGTTGCTCCACATACTTACCAGCATTTGTCAGTGTTCTGCACTTTGGCCATTCTAGTAGGCATTCAGGGGTATCCCAATGTTGTTTCATTGTGCACTTCCCTTACGATATGTGATGTGGAGCAATTGCCGTATGCCTCTTTGTATGTTCTGGGGTGAGTGTCTCTTTTTAACCAGGGGTTTGTGTGCTTATTGTTAATTTTAAGGTCTCATTGTATAGTTCTTACAACACATTGTAAATCGATTGCAAGTCTCTTCTCCCAATTAGTGTCCTGTTTTCTCATGTCTTGACAGTATTTTTTGCCAGAGAGAAAGTTTTAATTTTAATAAATTCAGCTAGTTAATTTTCTTTCATGGCTCATACCTTTGATAGTGTATTTTAAAAAGTCGTAGTTTTAGGAATTTTATTGGTTTGAGTTTTATATTTAGATGTATGAATTGTTTTATACTGAATATTGTGAAAGCCAAAAGGCATGCATATAAATTTATTTTTTTACTTTTGTATGTCCTGTTTTATCCAATATTAGCCTTTCTTCACTGTATCACTTTTACTACTTTGTCAAAGGTCCAAAACCCACATTTATGTGTGCTTGTTTCTATGGTTTTTAGCCCTACATGTAAAGGCTCACAAATACATTGATTTGTGGACTCAGTGTATAGATTTACGTAATTTGTAATATATCTTGAAGTTGGGTAGTATCAACCTTGTATTTCAAAGTCTGGATGTTTTTTACATTTTCTTATAAGCTTTAAAAACCAACTTTCTGACATCCACAAAACAATTTCTTGGGATTTTGATTGAAGCTATTGAGTGTATAGATGGATTTGGGAAGAACTGACAGTATTTCTCCATTCCATATACTTCATGTTTCACCTGTAACAAAGCACATGAGATGTTTTATGCTGCTCAGGCTTGAAATTACAATCCTCCTTTACCTGGATGCCCATGGAGAATTTCCTACTGTGGTTCTATTGAACTTGTTTTCTGTTCCTTTAGCTTAACCGTTACCTTCTTCTCCTCCTATGCCCATGATTTGTATGGTTGGTATTTTAACAGTGTTTCAGGGGTCTTGAATTTTCTGTTCATATTTTCTCTTTATTATCAGCTGAATGTTCTAGTGTGTCTACTTTGCAGTAAACTATTATACTGTTTTCAACTTGATTAAGTTTTCTTTATTTGACCTATTGACTTTTTCACTTCCAAAATTTAAATTTGATTTTTTTTCCAGCATCACTGTCTCTTTATCGCATTTTCTCTTCCTTGTTTCTTTGCTGTCTTTGAATTCATTCAGATACTTATTTTCATTTCCTTGGATTTTGTTGATAATTTTTATAACCATTATTTTGAAATTTTATTCAGAATTTCATATATTTTAATGCCATTAGGATCTGTTATTGTGGAATTGTTACCTTGATAACAATCACGTTGCCTTTGTGGGTCATATTTCTTGTGTTTCTGCATCAGGAAATACACACTTGGGGCTTTCTCATCAGCTTCACTAGAACTTCCAGTACCACATTGAAGGAGTGGCAAAGGATGACCGACCTGTCTTTAAAAAAACTATTATGGTGGGAAAACTTTGAATTTCTCACTATTTGCTATGAAGGTAGACATGTGGGGAAATTGTATCAATAAACTTAGTATTTTTACTTTACTGGGTAGTTTTTATGATTAGACATTTGAATATGTCCTGTTTTTCCTGCATCTATTGATATGATCACATTATTTCTTTCTTATCTGTTGATGTGGTAGATTGATTATTTAAAGTATCTATCTATCTATCTATCATCTATCTGTCTGTCTGGGATAAACACTTGTTTGTAATACCGTAGTTCTTTTCATATAAAGATTTTGGATTGAATTTACTAATATTTAGTTGAAAATTTTAGTATCTGGGTTCATGATAGATGTTTGTCAGTAGTTTGCTGTTTCTTATAATGTCCATTTGACTTTTCTAGCTTCAAAGAATCAGTTATAAAGCACTACCATTATGTGTTTTTTCTTCATGCATTAAAAATATTGTTATTATAACAGTGATATACAGAGGGGTGACAGGTATATACGTCTGGCAAAGAGTACATTTCTTTTTGAACAGTGTCACCTCTTCCTTTACTCTCTCCAAGTTTTTCCCTCCCCTCCCCTCCCCACCCACAAGTTGTGTAGTTCATTTTCAACATAGTGTCTAGTCAGTACCATGGCTATATTTGTTAACCCTGTGTCCTCCCTCCATTTATGCCTCCCTTACCCTCTCAACAACACATAAATGGACAAACAAGACAAAAGGAAAAGAAAACAAAACAGCAACAAAGAAAATAGCCTCTTATTTCCATTTCTTCGGGTTCATTTTGATAAACATTATTTTGTATGATCAGATACAAACAGCTATTGTGCCTATGAGATCTTTTCCTAAGAATAGCCTCCTTTGGTCTTGCTGTGTGTGAATGACTACAGACGTGTATAATTTAGCATCTCCCAGTGTATGTTTTAAAACATCCAGTATGTCTACTTATAGATTTATAGGCACATTCTAGTTACCATAAATGAGGGAAGTCACACAGCCTGTTTCTCTGGATCTGACATACTTCTCTTAATGTGATTTCTGCTCCCCCCTCCGCCCCGCCTCAAGGCTTTCAATTTCCTTATGAATGGTACAATATGGAAAAGCTATAGGTAATTTTCACAGTGTTTTCTGCAGGCATTATTGACTTCTGAAAATTTCTGGGACTAGCCATTTTTGTTTTAGACTATTATTAGCTATCGATTTGTTTTACTTAATGTCACAAGCCGATTAAGATAGACTTTTATCTTGAAATAAAATGTTTGATTAACTAGAACTTGAGGAGATGAGTACAGGGTTGAGACAGATTAGAGAGGACAGCTATGGAGAAGTGGCTCTGCATAAGGCACACCATACTTAGAAATTGATCTGCTAAGTTGGAATACTTTTGTACAATGTAAATGCCATAAAATAATTTAGTAAAGAAAAAGGTTGGCTTTCATGGATTTTCTTTTCTTTAGGGACTTACCCCTCTCATCTAGGTTTTCAAACTTGTAGGCACAGGTTTTCTCATAGCCCTTCATTTGACTTTTGATGTGCCTGGATTCTGTAGTGATATCCTCTATTTAACTTTTGATATTACTCATTGGTATTTTCCCTTTTCTGTTCTTAAACAGCTAGCCTTGCATTTAAAAATTTAATTTATACTAAAATTCATCTTTAGATTTTGTTGCTTATGTTTATTTTTCCCTGTTTTTACCTTTACTGATTTCTGCTCTAATTTTATCTTTTTCTTTTAAATTTAATTAATGTATCTTTTCCTACCTTATCAGATGAAAGTTGAGGTACTAGATTTTATATTTCCTCTTCCCTAATATATTTACTCAGTACTATGAATTTACCTTTTGAACACTGCTTTCACTGCACCTCCCAAATCTGAGTAAGTTGCTTTCCTTTGAACCATTTTATGTCATGGGTATAATTGCACTCCAATTCTCCTACTTTTAGGGCACTGCATTCAAAAACTCCTTCCTCAGGCTCAAATCAATGTCATACTTGTCCATTTTTTCCCTTCACCTTATATCTACTTTTCTTTTAGTAAAAGAATTGCTTCCTAATTAGTCGGTAATTCTTGTCTGCTATTTATAACTATCCTGAGTATCAGAAAAGCATCTCTGGACAGGTTTTGGTATTCACCTTCTTGCCTTGCATTGCTTGTGTTTAAGACAAATATTCTGAGGGATAATATTGGTAAGTTAGTATATCTATTCTTCTTTGTGTGAGCAAAGCAAAAACTTCTGGAAGTTGAACTGAGTACTTCAAAAGATCTAGAATGAGATTAACTTTGTGGTTAGACAGGAAATAGCTTGGACATTATTACTGTGGTCATTAACCTGTTTTTGCTTTCTTATCATTTCTAGGTTGTCCAGATAATGACTGCCCTTATGAACCTCAGCATGGGAATAATAATGATGAGAACCACATTACCATTCTACAGATTAGCTCCCATCTCAGTGTATTTTGGGTTCACAATTTGGGGGTCAGTGATGGTGAGTAGCAAACCTTCCTGTATAATTAGAGATACAATAACACTGTTAGTCTATTCTGGGTTTTGGATGGAATCCTACTCAAGTCAATTTTTGTAAATCTAATACTTTGAAAGAAGTGTATTTAATCTTTATTTACTTTTCTCATATGGATTAGGGCGTTAATAACAACCTTGAATTTTTCCTTCCATTACTAGTTTATTATTTCAGGATCCTTGACAGTTGCAGCAAGAATAAGAACTATAAGATCTCTGGTGAGTTGTATTTTTTTAATTTGGTATCAAAAGAGTAAGAGTAAACAGAATGCGCTTCTTTGTTTTTTTAAAAAAATTATTGTAAAGATGATATATAGTTATATAAGTAAGGTAATGAGTATATTGTTTTTTGAACAGTGTTACCCCTTCCCTCATTTTCTCCTACTTTCCCTCCCTCCAACTCCCTTCCCCTGTAAGTTGTAAAGTTCTTTTCTAATGTACTGTCTAGTGAGTTCACTCTTTGTCTCACCATTTCTGTGATTTCCCTCCCCTTCCCCAAATCAGATAAACTTATATACAAGACAAAGGGGACAGAAATCAAAGACAGTGACAACAGGGTATAAACTAAAGGGAGAAAAAAGAAAGAAAAAAAGAAATAATCGCAAACAGTACAATAAAAGAAAAAACCACTTCTTGCTTTCATTTCTTTGAATTCATTTCAGTAAGCATCTTTTTATATGGTCATATCCACATTGCTATTGAGCCTTTGTTTTTGAAAAAGCAAGAGAGACTTGGAGTTTTTTTAAATTTTCTTTTAAAATAAGGTTTTTGTTGGCTCCTCCTCCTTTGTTTTTCCCCTACTACACTCCCACCCCCCTCCCACCCCTAAAGTCATTTTTCGACATAGCGTCTTGTACATCTCATTGTTGCAATGGGTCCTTGGAGTTTAATCTAGAATTATCTGTTTTTAAAAATTTTAGCCAAACAGTTATCTAGTGATAGCATTTCTCACATAGAACTGAATGTTGCATGAAGGTTGTTGCTCAGAGAGCCTATGTATAGATGCAGAGAATTCTAGAGAAGAAACATTGAGGTGGGAACATTTAAACAAAGCTTGGGAAGTAGAAGCCCATGACAATGACATCTAGACCACCAGATTCAAATGTGTATTTAATTTATATCCAAAAAGGATTTTGAGTTTGCAGGAAATATACTCATACTCAGCTATTACTGTGGAAGAATCCTATTCCGTAATCAACCTCCTTGTATATGAGTCACAAAGAGAATAAAATGGAAGATAAAAGAGTAGATCAGAAGCATTTTTCTGGTAAAAGACAATAGTTGATATTTCTCTCTCCAAAGATAGACTTGGGCCTTTTGAAACTGGCCTCCACCTGATTCCCTGGCATATCTTCCATCTGTTACTATTAAAAATTCATATTGAACCTCCCAGATTTTCATGGTAATTTTTGTTTGGTTGGGGGGAGGGGGGCTTTGTTGTTTTTTAGGGCAAAATCTTGTTCTGTAGCCCAAACTGGCCTCAAGCTTTTGATCTTCCCTTCAGCTTCCTAAATGATGAGATTACAGGCACATGCCAGTACACATTAATATAACATTTAAAACTCATACTCTTACATGAGAAGAGCATGTGCAAGAAGTGATACCCAGTGGAGCTATATTACAGAGAGCACTGAGTGAATCATGGGAGGTCAGGCACCAGAGCAGAGCATGGCAGCAGGCGGACAGACCAGGCCACCAGCTCTTATAGAAAGGAGTTTGGAATCCCTGCTGGGAAAGGTAGCATTTAGCTCTCACACTTCAGGGAATCATTTGATGTATTTAACCCAGGAGGGTCAATGCCACATTTTTGTTTTGTTAAGAGATTAGAGTTGAAACCACAAGAAGGAAAAAGGTAAGTTGAGACAGTGTTGTAAATCAAGATAAAGAAGATGAAGCACATTGGGAAAGAAATAGAGGCTGTAAAGTGATGGGCAGATGCATGTCTGATCGTGTGACCTGTTAGTGATTCTTACTCCTTTTAGGTGCAGTGCAGTGTAGTCTTGAACACCGTTGCCTCTGTGTTTGCTGCGGCGGGGATTATAATCAGTGCGTTGAGCTTGAGGATCTCTTTACAGGATTATAGCTACGGTCACATATCAAGCAGTGAGTCCTTCATCCTTCTACTGGTGAGTGTATCCTCTTCTCACGGGATGCTACAGTGGTGGGCGATCTCTGCTGCACTGCCGGGAGCCCCAACAACACTGTGTTTCTGGAAGGTTGGAAATGGTTGAGAAACAGACCTCTATTTGATATAGGCATGAAGTGAAGGTCTCATACTGTTCCTCCTCTCTCTATGCTGAAGGAAGTTCATGTTATAGAATACTTACTCCTTAAGAATTTCTCCATGGAGCATTTGATATGATTTTTTCCTATTTAATTTACAAATGCTGGTCAGTGAGTAAGTTACGTCTTCCAAAAATAGAGCCCGGATGTCCTGCATGCCCCTTGCCCCGAGCTTCCTGATGGATCCTGATGGAGTTACATGATTTTAGTAATAAATTAAAATGGTCTTCAACATCATCCCATAAATTGAGAGAAAGCCAGTATCCTTGATATCTCTGAAAATCCTTGCAAGGTTAATCCCTTGTCACCTCAACTATCATGACCCACAACTCTCAATCTCTGTTACATTTGCTCTGAAGTTTGCCTTCATTGAGATACTATCGCTATTACTTCATCCTCCAAATGATCACATACACAACATTTTGTAAGTACAAGAAGAAGAGTTACTGTGTTACATCATAGAAAACTTAAATATGTCATTGAATTTTACCATTAAAATGTTGCTTGGCCACTCTATTTTCTGTTGGCTTCCTTCCATTTTTCATTTGCTTTTTTGTAATTTCCTTGTCTTTTTCAATTAGTGTCTTAAGATAATTCAGACTTATTTTCTTAGAGAAATCATAACTTTGAAAGTGGTCTCATTTGGATAAAATCAAAGTCTTAGGGCTGTATCTCTTTCTGAGAGCTAGTGGAAAGATCAGTTTTGATTTTTTCCCCCAGCTTCCAGTAGATGTCTCTGTTTCCTGACTTTTCCTGATTGATCTTCAAATGAAGCATCACAACATATCCACATCTCTTGGGCTTTGGTACTTCTTCCTGCTTCTGCTTTCTAGATCCATCCAGAATAAACCCCCCTCTTAACAACTATCCTTAACTGCATCTGAAAACTGGATTCCATTTGACTATGTAGCTGGATGCATCCACAGGTTCTAAGATCTTCTTGGAAGTCGTTGCCTATAATAACGTACATATATATCATATTATTGGATCAGTTAAATGGAATTGCTAGTTCTCAGAAAGCCTAAAATGACAGTTATCTTAAAATTCTTCTTGCCTTCTACTCCTTCAATTTTTAAGGTACTTTCATATCTCAGTTCTGTAATGAAAAATGATGGGTGGAAGGAAATCAATTTTCATCCTAATCAGTGAAAACAATGACAGTGGGAAGGCTATGACTTGGCCAAAGCATTCTCCAGCAGCCATGGTGATTAATAGTATACTACTCAAACTTACAGTCTCCACAGTTCCTCACATTCCTTTGTTATGAATTTATTGTAGGGCTTGGATGGCATGGTGCTTATGCTAAGTGTGCTGGAATTCTGCATTGCTGTGTCCCTCTCAGCATTTGGATGCAAAGCAACCTGTTGTAACCCTGGTGGGGTGAGTATTGGCCTTCATGTGAATAGGGCACTTGTTGTTCGCTGTGTAATCAACTGTACATATAGGCTGAAAACACACCTTTGTTATCTCTCAGCTTCCAGAGCTCAGGTGTGTGGGCTCAGCTTAGCTGGGCCCTCTGCTCGGTTCTGCTCTGCTCAGGTTGTCACCAGGCTGTAGTCATTGAGTTGGCTGGGCTGAGATCTCATCTGCAGCTTCTGCTTCTTCCCCATGCTTATGTTGCAGAATTCATTTCCTGTCAGATGTACAATTCGGGTCATTGTAGTTCTTCCCTGAGGAAATCTTGAGTGTTGCTGTTCACAGCAAGACTGGGAACTCAGTGTCTGGTAGGCAGAGAGTGGCTTACACCATGTGGGTATAGACAAAGTTTACTAAAAGCACCACATACTTATATATGGCATACAGGCAAGGAAAGACGATGGGAGTTAATCTAGAGTCAGTAAGCAGGAAAAGTTAACCTTCGTCAACAAATGTGAAGCAGTTTTACATGATCAAAGGTGAAAAAGAACAAGCAAATTGCTGGTGAGCTATCTTATGCACACAAAGGGAATTTGGAGGGATTGTTTATGGGATTATTCAGAGGAGCAGGAAGAGCATGTTCTACATGCCTTCCCTTAGTTTTATGGCTGGGCATCTGGATTGTTGCCAGACTTTGAAGGAGTTTTCTCCTCCCTGAGGCTATGCATGTTAGCATACACAACCTCACAGCACACAAATCCTCAGCTGGCATCCCAGGAGCCAGTTCCTCTGACACTTGAGGACAAAGATTTCAAGTGCTTTCAGGCTTTTGGCTCACATGCTAGAAGTTCATATGATTTTTTTTTTGTCAGTTATGGGGCTCGAACTCAGCACTTGGGTACAGTCCCTGAGCTTCTTCGCTCAAGGCTAGTGCTCTACCACTTTGAGCCACAGCCCCACTTCCGGTTTTCTGGTGGTTAATTGGAGATTAGAGTCTCACAGACTTTCCTGCCTTGGGCTTGCATTAAACCATAATCCTCAGATCTCAGTCTCCGGGCTACCAGCACCCTGCTTGAATATCAAGACACTCAGAGTCAACTGATCAGTGACCACTCACAGGAGTGATAGCCATTCTCTCCATGAGTTTTACCTTAGAATTATGCATATTTCAGTGACCAAAGAAGTTACTTTTCCATTACTCCCACATCAAAGGACATCTCCTGGGTTTAGGTCCAAGAACATTTCTCAGTAGAGAAGTCCCCTTAGAGTGCCAGAATTTTATCTACGACCTTATCTTTTAGCTATTATATCTTTTAGCTACTATAACTATTGAGGAAATGTTGAGATAAAACTTCTCTCCTCGCTTGTGCACATCTGGCTGTTGTCTTACCCCAAAACCCACAGCAGATGCTCTGGGCTGCTACGCAGAAAGATTTCCTACATAGAAAGGGGAAGTGGAATGTAAAAGGAGAAAAAGAGTTCCAGAAAGAGGACCGAGGAATAGCAGGGTCAGGGAATCCAGCAAGCATTAAGGGTTCTAGGGAAGGGAAGTGGCTAGTGAAACTCTACCAGCTGCCCAGACACAACTCCCAGACAAACAATAAAATGATCATGGTTGTTGAGAATGTTGAGTGCTTATTTATATTGATATTTACAGCCTTTCATCTTGTACATATTTTCATTTCCCAGAAAATACTATACCCCCTCATAGGCCACAGAAGGGAGACAGACCTGTCATACTCCAGGGATTTCACATTACCCTCATACTTCACTCTAGAAGTACGAATTTCTCAGAAAGTGTAGAAAGCTGGGAATACTAGTGCATTAAGCATTTTGGAGATGAGATAATTCTTTAGTGAACTTCAAAGATATCTATATCCATATCTATATTTATCTATAGCTATTATAAATATTATAGATTATATATCTATATCTATTATAGAGATAGATAGATAGATAGATAGATAGATAGATAGATAGATAGATAGACAAACAGACAGACAGACAGACAGACAGACAGAGCCAGGTCTGGGACTTGAACTCAGGCCTTGGCACACTGTCCCTGAGCTTCTGTTGCTCAAGGCTGGTACTCGAGTGCTAGCCACCTGAATCACAGCTCCACTTCCAGCTTTTCTGTGATTAGAGGTAAGTGTCTCATGGACTTTTCTGCCCAGGTTGGCTTCGAACCCAGATCCTCAGATCTTGGCTTCCTGAGTAGCTAGGATTACAGGCATAAGCCACTGGTGCCTGGATCCAGATTTAAATATTTAAGACTGAGCTCCATCTACTCTAGCTTATGTATAGAGCAGGTAAACGTTACTCCCACTGAATCTCCTGTGTGAAAGGAGAAGGGCAGTGGTCTATGTCTATGTTCCTGTACCTTCTATCCTGCCTTGTCCATCACTGCCCCCAAACAGCTGTATGTCACACGAGGTTGCGGAAGAAGGACCACAGTGGTATTTTAGTTTGGTGAAAATTTCTGCCTTTATAGGACAGCATGGTTTTGCAGTAATCAGAAAATCATGCTTTGGATCTCTTTCTGTCATCAACAGTGCAAATAGGTTTGCAAGCACGGCTCTGCCCTCTGAGTAACACCTTGATTTCCCTACCTCACTGGGTTCACATCCACGCATTAGATTGGTTCACTCCAAGTCTCAGCAACGGCCATGAGCATTGTAGGCCACAGATCCGTCACTGAATATGCGTTCTAGGTCTAGCCTGATCTAACAAATGCCCAAATGCCTCCCAAGATTACTAAGAGATTCAAAGACAAGAGAGAAGGCTGTGGAGGTTGTGACATTATGTCTGAAGGGAAAGGGAGTTCTGAGGACCTTTGGTGAATCAGTGATGTTCTGATTGATTTCACAGGTTGTGTTAGTCCTGCCATCTGATCTTCACACAGTGAAAGCAACATCTCCTGCACCATTTGAAGGAAATTTGCATGCCACCAGCAAATCAACAACAGATTTATCCTGAGAGAGTAACCAAACCCAGTTCATATTCATGTATGTGTTTGCCAGGTGGTCAACAGCACCTGGAATGTATTTTCTTCATCCTAAAACATTTTATGTAAGGGCATTAAGTTGTCAGAGTCAGAAAGGCCAAAAGATATTACTGAAGTGATTTAATGATGTCTTTGTACAGAATTCATATTTCTGCTTTCTCGTTTAATGTGCTTGCCATGTGTCTGCCCTGCCTTTGAGGAGTTTTGTTTCTTGTTTTTTGTTTTTAGGCTTGAACTCAGGCCTAGACACTGTCCCAGAGATTGTTTTTCTCAAGGCTAGCACTCTACCATGTGAGCCACAGCGCCACTTCCGGCTTTTTCTTAGTAGTTTATTGGAGATAAGAGTCTCACTGACTTTCCTGCCCAGGCTGGCTTCAAACAGCAGTCCTCAGATCTCAGCCTCCTGAGTGGTTAAGATTACAGGTGTGAGCCATTAATGCCTATAAGGCTGTACTTCTTTCTTCTTCAGGAAGTGAAGATGTATGGCTCTTTCCTGTCTTTCTTCCTGCTTCTTTCCATAGCTCATAAAAAGCACCATGGGCTAGCTAATATAGTTCTTATATGTGCACAAGCTATTGTGTGTGAGTTGGATAAAATCCTCTTTCTCTTTCTTTTTTTCTGTCTCTCATTTGAACTCCATGAGCCCCAGTGCCACTTCTGATTTTCATTTAGTCAATTGGAGATAAGTCTCTTAGGGACTTTTCTGCCTAGGCTGGCTTTGAACTGCAGTCCTCAGATCGCAGCATCCTGAGTAGCAAGAATTACAGGCACGAGCCTCCTGTGTCAGGCATTGAGCAATAAACAGTTCCTCAATTCATCCCCATACCCCCTCCTTATATCATCCCAGTATTCAAGGATGGACGTGTGTGTCTTAAAATTGTCTTCATCACAATCGGTAATATTTTCCTTTCCAGTATGCATTCAAATACAGTGTCAACAGGGCAACAACCCACACCTGAAATAATTGAAGTCGCCTTTGCTCTCCAATACCCAGGATGCTGTCTCTGAGGAGAATGGCCTGTCATCTGTCTCGGCATTGAGCCCCTGGCACCATCTGCACTCAGTGGAGGGGTGAGGAGTGAGGGCTAGCAGAGGCCTTTCCTCCAGGACTCTGGAAGCCTGGGATGCGTGGTGGGCCACACCTCCTGCCTCACTGTCAGTCCTCATAGGAAACTCTGGTGTACCCTGAAAAAGTCTAGAATAGCTGAAGAATAGGGAAGGGAAGATCAGAGTTCAAATGCTTTCCACAGGAAGAGAACTTGGAGAGTTCAGAGTAGCTTGGTGAGGGCGTGGCCTGTGGAACTCACAGGAACAGAGTGCAGTTACCTACACCACAGTCTTAAAAGTTGGAGCATAGTGTAGAGGGCAGAGCTACGGGCAAGTGAGAGCACCATGCCCATGGCTCTATCCGAGTGAATGTCAGCTGTTCCTCTATAGCACTTGAAGCACCGAGGGAGCCCCTGGAGAGACAGTCAGTGTGTCCAGTGCCAGGCATCATTCTGAAACAAGTGATCCGTTGTGTGTCCTGGATTTGAGGTGAAAGGAAGGGGTGTGTGTGGCCTGGCCACATTGTAACTGTCATTGTGACATTGGGTGAGGATTTTATTGGAAGGATTGTGAATACATCCTGGATCTGAGGTCAAGGGAAGGCGATGTGTAGCCTGGGCCATGTTACCACTGTCATCTTGACCTCAGGAGATTGTAGATGAGCGATCTGGAGTGTGTCTTGGATTTAGCATCCAAGAAGGGTGGCTATCGCCTGGACCACAGAACCACTGTTGTCCTGACATCAGGAGGGGATTGTGGAGGAAAGATTCTGAATGTTTTCAGGATTGGAGGTCAATGGAGGATGTGGCCTGGGCCACTGTAGTCTGGATGTGCTTAGCCCCTGGCCAGCTAGACCCAATGGATGACATCTACACATGGTATTCTGAAAAGTTTGTCCCTTTCTCCTCCTGGGAAGAAGGGTGAAGCCGGCTCCATACTTGAGCGTGGTGCTCTGGGGGGAACGTCCTCTTCTTGAGCATGAAATTGGAGTTGCCCAAAGAGTTCACGGCATAAAACACATTCATGTCATCAGGGATCCTCAGCTCTGGTGGAAGAGGGACAGAGAGCTAGTCAGCAGTACTGACGGGGACTGGGACACACACCAACCATTTGAGAAGCTCCTAAACTCCAGATGTGAGCCAGGACGCTGTCACCCGCAGTCCAGCACCAGGAGTTCCAAGGGCCTGGGGCCCCTGCCTGGAAACTGAGTCTATTGAAACCTATCTTGTCTTGCTCAGGAAAGAACTTGGGACTTGAGCTCACGCCAGCTAGGCCTAGAGGGGGCACAAGGATTCCCCTCTGCCCTTCCTGCTGCCTTGATGATCAGGACCTCCAGGCACAGCCTGCTTTCCAGAATGCACAGCACCTCCCCAGAGCACTTCCTACTGAGAACAAGGATTCCAAGGAGCACCATGGGGCAGGCCTGGACTCAGGCCCTCTGCACAGCATGCATTCCAGGGGCCTCCAACCCACTGAGCCCCAAGCACTCAGCAAAACTTGCCTTTCCTGTGGCCTCTTCTTTCTCTGCAGTTTTCTCTGGTCGTGAGGCCCCCCCTGCCAACCAAGTTTAGAGTGCACTCAACTCCCGCCCACACTCTGGTCTCTCATCCACATTCATTAGCCTCTGTAGGCCTCTGCTTTCCTTTCTAGAAGAAGGGAACCTATGCCCACCTACACAAGGAGAAGGGTGCAGGAAGCTACAAAGGCTTATGGCAGGCAAGTGGCACTCAACGCTGACCATCTCAGCAAAGCACCTGATGGGGTCTTCATCTCAGTCCAAAGACAGCAGAGCAATGACACCATGCACTGTAGCCCTGTGGTCCCCAAACACAAGATCTCTCTCTGTCTCTGTCTCTCTGTGTTTGTTTCTCTGTCCTTCTGTCTATCTGTCATCCTCCTAAGGTGTTGGCTACTCTCTACTAATTATGAAGAGGACCACACTGGCAGAGAAGATTTGGAACTTCCCTGTGGTCTCTGAGATTTCTCTAGCTCTATCTGGTGCCACACCGGGACCACAATGGTGACTGTACAACTACACATCCCGTGACTTCTCACAGAGCTCCATGTAATTATATTTTTCCACCAACTATCATTCTTTCAATTTATTGTTATGTCTCCTTTAATAAAGTTATATTTTAGAGGCACTTATCATTTTACTTATCACATAAAATTTATTACTTCATACAGTGTACTTATCAACAAGTGCTATTGCTTTTTTGTTTCAACTTTAAAATATATTCTTTATGATTTCTTCCATTACACATATTTATTTTTATAGTATTGTTTAATGTTGAAATTTAATGTTTTCTGTACTAGGAGGCAATTGCAGCAGTGGTGTTTATTGAGTAACCCATGATCATTTCGTTAACCTTAAATAAAATACTTTCTATTTAATAGACATTAAAAATGAGTGACAGTTCATGTCTGGCTCGGGGTGCTGTGGGGTGGACTGGTATCAGAGAGGATGGAGTTGGCCAACATGCTTTATGTACTTGTATGAAGACGTGGTGACAGTGATTGTAATCGGTGTTAATAAAATATGAATAAAAATCATCCTTATCTATTCCTCTACTTATCACAATATCTTAATAAAATTTGTGCTTCTCTCTCGAATGAGTATCTCTCTAATATTTAACTTTTGATATGGAATTTATTTCCATTAGTTCCACTGGTCATAGCCAGTTTCCATTAAAGACCCCTTATTTCTTTACCCCAGGTTTATGTAGAAATGTGGAGAAAATTCTATCCCCTAAATTAGAGGTTGACCTAGCAGCAATTGTGGACACTACTCGTAGGACCTCAGAGTGGACCTCATTCAACCCAGCTGGCCATGGGTTCTGGCTCAGCTTGATGACCAGTGGTGTGAATAACACACCATGGTCCAATTGTACCATTTAGATTCCACTGATCAGTCAAACTTCTCTTTTTGCTTTTTAGAGGGAGCTCAGAACTGTGACGATATAAATCTGCCACTGTGAGCTGTCCCAAGCTACTATATATAAAGTTTGTGACAGAGAAAAACTAAAGATAGCAGAGCTGAGAGATGCCAGTAAAAGATCTGATTCTAGTGAGATGATTTGAAGTCTGAGTCTAGACAGACTGGGGCTTTAACAATGTAAAGACAGGGATATACAAGTAATGCAATAACTGGGATTCCTTCCAAGGGATTCCTTCCTAATTCACAAGGAAAGACAAATGTTTTGCATTTTCTTGTATTGAATAAAACACCTTATAGTATAACTCCTAATTATTTCGGGTCTACTTAAAATGGCCCAAACATGCTCCCTTTGTCAGTGACAATTATCACAAACAAAAAACTAGGCATCAAATTTCACAATAACACTACTACATAATTTGGCCTACATTTATTTCACATGTCACTGCCTACTTCGTTACCCTGCATCTGAATGTTCTAGGGCCTATGGATTTGAGATTGGAATGTAAATCTATAGGAAAATGTTCACCAGGTCATCTCTGACTACAAAGGCAATAATACAATCATTTAAATAAATGGATGAAGTGGAGCTTGGGACTTCCACTTGTGTGTGAGGTGAGCAGAGCCAGAGACAAGAGCTAAGGCCAAACTCAGGGTTTGACAAGATGGCGGCTTTCCTGCAGGGTCATTAAGGAAGCCCAGTGCTTGCTGGCTGGACCAGTTTCTGGCATTAAAGCAGAACCAGATGAGACCAACATCCACTCCTTTCATATGGTTATTGCTGGCCTTCAGGATTTCCTCTTTGAGGGAGGGACTTTTTTATGATTCTTAGAATTTATTACAATACAATAGACACCAGAGTTCTCATGCAAAATGTTTTCCTAGAATTAATTTTGAAAAGGAAGTCAATCAGGAAGTCAATCAGGAAGTTGAGAAAGGGCAGGGAAGAATTTTAAAATGTACTTCCAGCATGGGGGAGGGAAATCTAAACTTGAACTATTCCTTCCAGAAGAACACCGAAAGGCAGCACCTAAAGTATGTCCCATGACCAAAATGTATCATCCTAATGTAGACAAGTTGGGAAGAATATGTTTAGAATATGTTTTTGAAAGGTAAGTGGTCCCCAGCATGGCAGATCCACACAGCTCTGCTATACTCCTAATCCAGACAATCCATTAGCAAATGATGTAGCAGAGCAGTGGAAGACCAATGAAGCCCAAGTCATAGAAACAGCTAGAACATGGACTAGCCTATATGCCATCAATAATATTTAAGTCAATCTGATTATCAAATGTGTATCAGTTCTCCTGTTCTGCCAAGACTCCCTCCAAAGGTTTGCATTTAATGGACACAGTCTTAGAAACATTACAGAATAAAAGCCAGACATCTTCAGTACTTTGGTGATTAAATGAATATGCACCTTAGCAAATTTAGGTCTTGTCCAGATTCACTGTTGTAAGACATGAGCAGAGGTATCTAGATTGTTGTATCGTCTGGATTGTTGCAAAGCATATAAAAACAGTGATTCTCTGTTTTTATTCATTTCTCCCATCATGATTTAGGTATAAAGCAATGTGAATGAAGGTAGTTGTCAGGGTTAGCTGCAGGGGTTTGGGTGTTTTTCTTACATTTGAGGGGGGGAAGTAGTTTTAATTTTATGGGATCCTTAACCCCCTTTGTGGGAATCTAATTGTATTGGTTAAAAGCAGCTAACCAGTTCTTTAAGGTACACTTTCCAGCCAAGTCTTAACTTTAGACCCCAGAGGTGAGCACCTCTTTTCCCACTCTTTATCATGTTTTGTCCCCCAAGGGCTCATGTGTTAGAAGAGGAGTCCGCCACATGGCAGTGGGAATTCTAACGGGTGGTAGATGGGAATTTTGCCCTCAGAAAGGATTTAGGTAGTGTTCATGAAACCCTGGTTGGTCCCCATAAGAATGGGTAGTTACAAGAACAGAAAGCTGATTCTCTCTCTCCTTCTGTCTTACATGTGATCTTAACCTCTCACACACTCTTCCGCCATTTTGTTTTCTACCGTGTTGTGATGTAACTGGATGACACTCACTGGAGCCAGCAGGTGGTAGGGCCATGCTTTTGGAACTCCAAAACTATAATCTGAATAACCCTATTTTCTTTACAGACTATCCAATAACAAGGTTATGGCAATGGAAAAATGGACTAATTTACTCTTCCCTTAGAGTGAGGCTTATTTTTATTTGACAATCAAGGAATCTTAGTTTCTGGAGAACTAACAATATAAAACATCTCAATGTCAGTTGGATCCTTTGGCTATGGGAAGGGGGCTCGTTAGTTATTACTATGAAACCAGGTTGCTTCCAAATATATCCGTGGACATTTGTGATGATGCTCCATCATCACAGATAATACCACATCTGAATTTGAAATGAAGACAGGGATAATCCAATGTACAAAAGCATGGAAATGGGCTTTCTGAAAAGATTGTGTTGATGAAAAATTTCAAACTGAGTCTGATGCCCAGTCCATTCTCCCCCTTGTATCCAGGGCTGATCGCTGTGGCTTGCCAAGTCCCTGCCACTGTTCTCTGTGGATTTCACAATAGGTATATTCACCCCTACTAGGGACGTCCAGTCCACTCGCACTTCCGAGATAAAAAAGGAACTAGCTGGGTTTGTGTGTGTGTGTGTGTGTGTGTGTGTGTGTGTGTGTGTGTGTTTGAGAAATGCTAAGAGCCTTTAGAATTTAGAAGAAAACTTACAGATTATAACCTAGTGACAGAGCAAGGGAAGGGAATCTTATCTGAACCAAGAAGCCAGTAGACGTTCTGAGAGCCTGGGCCTCCATCAGACACCGAGCAGACATTGCAGACTTGAAGCAGGTGAGTTCTGGGTCTGGCTTTCCAAGGTATTTGCGGCTGATTTTTTTCAACTCTTCTAAGATTTCTAGGAATGGAATGGGAAAAATGAGTTTGTCTTCCACGGCATAAACTGGAATTCTGCAGAGTGGGTTGAGGATGTACCCATGTGGCATTTGAAACAGACTTTGGGAAAGATAAACAGGAGGTGTTGGGGGCAAGGAAAAACTAAAGATTCCCCCCCTAAAGGCCAAAATTAGGTGTCATATGAATTTGTTGGAGTTGAATTGGTTTTATGAATCTGTGGCTATAAAAAATGTCAGAACTGTTCAAACTTTTGACTGAGCCTTTCATGTATTCCTACTGTTTGTTCTTGTATAGTGTTCATTCTCTGTCTCCTACCATGTTCTTATAATTTCCACCCATGAAGGAAAGTACTACCACATGTGGAATTTGGTGGAGATGGTACAGGGTAAAGGCAATGTCCTCTGTCAGAGATCCTTTCCCTGATCTAACTGAGTTTGTGGCCTGATCTCATTCTCTGTGACATCATTTGCTAGTCTCCCAAGCTGTAAAATGAAGCTCTCCTGGGAAAGTCTACCAATAGAAAGATTCATACATGTCACCTTGAAAATCCTTACCTGTGTGGAAATTCTGCCCAGTACACCTTTTCAAACCCCAGTCATGGGGTTTGAACTCTGGCCTGGGCGCTGTCCCTCAGCTCTGCAGATCAAGGCTAGTGCTCTACCACTTGAGCCACTGTGCTACTTCCAGTGGTTTATTGGAGATAAGAGTCTCATGGACTTTCCTTGCCCGAGCTGTCTTTGGACCACAAACCTCAGATCTCAGCCTCCTGAGTAGCTAGGATTACAGGCGTGAGCCACTGGTGCCCGGCTTGTACTACACTCTCAGCTGAGAGGAGATAAACACAGAGAAGGGAAATAGCTGCATGCCTACTTGTTGAGAAAAGGGGTAATAATAACCCCAAACTAGGCTTTGTCCTGCCCCGGTCACCATTTCTACTTCACCATCATCACCTACAACAAATCATCCAGGTTCAGTCTTCTTCTGAGCTCTCTATTTTATGGGATTTTGAAAAGAGAGGATGGCCCTTGAGATTGCTTTCTTGCTTCCTGCAAAGTGATTGGGGTCCATGGTGGATCTATTGATAAACAGATGAGGAAAGGTAAGCTTGGTGGTGGAGCTGCCCCACAAGGAGTTAATTATAAGAGGGAAGATTGTCCATTCTTCCCCATCTCTGTACCACAGGCAAAAGTAAGGGCTCTGTATTTGCCGACCATCTCACTAGATTCCAAAACCATCTGGGAAACTATGTGTTTGATTCTTTCTCTATTTTCCTATCTATGTAATATTCTCTACAACTTTGGGTTATTGGATTTGGGGAGAAATTGGGACAGTGACTCCTAATTAATAAACATTTAGTGTGCCGTGGGGAATTGTCTTACCTGTGTCAGAAACAAGTGGGCTACTAAAGGAACTCCAGGAAATAGGAACAAAATTGTTTTCTTTCTTGCGTTTTTTGTTTTCCTTTTGTCTTGTTTGTTTACCTCTTTGGGAGGATAAGGGGGCACAGAAATAGCAGGACAAAGGGTGGACAAATACAGCAGTGGTCTTCACTAAACACTATGTTGAAAATGAACTATACAACCTGTGGTTAGGGATGGGAGGGAAAAATTGGGAGAGAGTGAGGGAAGGGGTGACCTTGTCCAAAAAGTAATATACTCATTACCTGACTTACATAACTGTAAGTCCCCTGCACAACTTTATAATAACAATAAAAATGCACTAAAATTAAGTGGGGGCCAAGTGCCTGTGGCTCAAGCCTGTAATCCTAGCTATTCAGGAGGCTGAGATCTGAGGATTGCGGTTCAAAGACAGCCCAGACAGGAAAGTCCGTGAGTCTCTTCTCTCCAATAAACCACCAAAAAACCCAGAAGTGGCACTGTGGCTCAAGTGGTAGAGCACTAGCTTTAAGCTGAAGAGCTGAGGGACAATGCCCAGGCCCAGAGTTCAAGCCCCAAGACTGACAAAAAAATAAAAGTGCATTGCTGTGATGGGAAGGTAGGAAACAGGTGACATTTTTTTGCCAGTAATTCTTAGAAAGACAGCATCAGATTGAGTATAGAGAACCCAGCCCATGTGAAGAGTTAGAAATTCATTGAAAACATTTTATTTATTATATTATCTTTAAGTAGTTGTGCAAAGGAATTGCCATTTAACAAAGCAGTTTATGAATACAATGCATCTTGCTCAATGTCACCTCTTTCAACATTTTCACCGATCCTTCCCTCACTCTTCTTCATTTTGTAGGATATACAGTAAATCCCTTCTCTTCTTCTGTCTCTCCCTTTCCCCGTGACCCCACCCCTTTCCAGCTGTTTCCTGGCATTTATTTTGTTGAACTTTGACTTTGCCTTTCTAAGGAATTATTTTATGCAATGTGTGTCCCACAGAGTTTTCCAGTCACCCTATAGAGGTACATACTTAGAAGAAGAATTACTAGCAGTGTTTTAAATTTGCTGACTTTAAGCTCATTGTCTGGTAGTCTTAAAGGCCAGTGGCGCTGGGATCATCTGTCTGAATATGGACAAAGATTCGTTTGGAGAGCTTGTAAATGAACATATGGAGGCCATTGTCAACAAAGACCAACTTGCTCAGAGGTTGCAGGTGCAGGCTTCTGTAGGGGAGTCTGTAGAAGTGTAAGAGATACAGGTGTATCAGATTTCATGGTAGTTAAAATATTGGAGCCATCTCATTCTTCTGATAAACAGGCACCTATTATTTGTAGGTTTTCAGCTATTCTGAGTTTTGCAAATGTAAAGGACATTTACTGGTCAGAAAGTCTTGATAATTTCTTACCCCCCCTCATTTTTCCAGGAATAACTAACCTTGTAGCTCATCATTAAGGATTAAAAAATATCTTTTAAAATATAATTTTATTGTTTTTATTAAGGTGTTGTGCTGAGGGGTTACAATTCTGTAAGTCAGGTAATGAGTACAATCCTTCTTGGACAATGTCCTTCACTTTCCTCCAATTCCCTCCTCACCCATCCCTGCCCACAAGTTACGTAGTTCATTTTTTCCCATAGTGTATATTGAACACCATGACTACCTTTATTCACCCTTCCTCCTGCCACTTAAAAAGGTATATGTTCACAGAGAATGGTGAGAACAGGGATAAGGTAATATCGACTATAGAACAGGGTTTAGCCTAGCTACAGTCAGCGGCATGAGGTGCAGCTAAGATAGAGGGAAATGAATAATATATTTCTTAACTGTGTGACCGACTTGACTTCTTAAGGTTTTTACCCAGTTACAGTAAGATAGGAGATAGGGCCTACCTTTCCTAAACCTTCGGTCTGAAAATAGATCTGAGAGCAAGGTAGAGTTCCTTTGCAAAAAGAGAGTAAAGCACACATTCATTTTTTTACCTTGACAACATTTATGCCTTGTGTGGTAGGCATTAACACAGGTTTCTTAAACCCTTTCTGTCCCTGGTTGAGTAATTTGTGGGCACTGTGCAAATGTGTTAGAGAAAAGGCAGAGACTGCAATACTGTTAATATCTGAGAAGAAAAAAATGATGGAAATATATTTCTGTTGTTGCTGTGAACAGACAAGGAAGTGAGAAATTCCTGTAATTGGGTTTAGAATGGAGATGTCATAACACAGGATTAAAATTGCTGATTTGGAAAATGTAAAGTAAGTTCAAAGTACTCAGAGCTTCAAAACTAAAAAGAGAGGTCTGGGGATGTGGCTTCATGGTAGAGTGCTTGCCTAGCATGCATGAAGCCTTGGGATCGATTCCTCAGTACCACATAAAACAGAAAAAGCCAGAAGTGGTGCTGTGGTTCAAGTGGTAGAGTGCTAGCCTTGAGCAAAAGAAACTCGGGGACAGTGCCCAGGCCCTGAGTCCAAGCCCCAGGACTGGCAAAAATAAATAAATAGAGACTGTATCAAGGTAAGTTTAAGATTAAACATACAAGTGATTGAATACAAGTTTCTCTTATTAAGAAATGAGACTGCAATTGCTTTTTATTTTTAACATAATCACTCTGGTCATTAAGTGGAGGATGGACATGAGGGAAGGTTAAGAGAATATAACATAAATGACTGCTTTTGACAAGATGAGAATACTGAGATTGGGATAATGGGTGTGTAGGATTACAAGATCATGACTGATTTGATAGAGGGCAGTTAAGACAGCATTGACGACAAAGTACCAAGTGTCCAACATGAAGAACCAAGACAAGTATTCCACCATCCATGAAGATGATTTGATGTGTCGTTGCCAACCATTGGCTTTCCGGATCTAAACTAAGGCCACAGATCAGGAGGTTATGTATATGGTACTCATATACCTAGGAGCCGTAAATTCTATCCCCAAAGTCCAGAGCTTAAAGGGAAAAAAAATTCAACATGACAAAAATCACACTCAGTAAAGAAGGCCTTGGAAAGATTTCTAGCTTTTAGTGTATAACTTTGCTCTGATCAGAAAAACTATGAAACCGTTAGTCCAGGGAGAAGCTTCCGTGTCAATCACTACTAATAATGGAAATTGTATTCGGTGGGAGAAATAGCTGTGAAAGCAATGGGGGATGATAGATACAGGGAAAATCTGAGCAGAGTCAGGATATAAACTGGGAAACATTTCCATAATCTGTGGGGTCCAACAAATTTAACTCAATGCTCTCTGTATTTCTCTCTCTGTCACATTTTCTAGGATCTCATCTGTCTGTCCGTCTGTCTATCTCCTACTTTCTCTTCCCATCTTTCTGACTTACTCCTTCTCTCGCTTCCTCCATCTTTACTAAAAAAAATGCCTCTTCTTGTACTTACTTTGTTTCAAGAAAAGAAAAATATCAGCTACAGTATAACATAGGAGGGGAAGTTATTCTAGAATTGGTTCTCAAAAGAGGAACTGACTTCCAAATATCCTGTCTTTCTTTAGGTGTTTCCAGAACGTTGTCCTTCATTGTATTTCGTATTCCAGCACATTCCTGATTCCATGACAACCATGCAAGCCCCGGGTCAGACCACCCTGGAGGCCAGTTTTGGTGTGCAGCAGCTGGGGCAGCCTGTAGGTCTGCACTCGTACCTCTGGAAAGGGCTGACGGAGAAGTTCTTGAAGGGGGAACCTAAAATCCTGGGCGTAAGTCAGCCACGGATCTGCGAGAAGCAACAATGCTGCTGTGAATGGACCACTGATCAGGCTGATACCAACTTCTTCTTCTTTCTTTTTGGACCATGTCACCCCTTTCCTTGCTCTCTCCCAATTTTCCCTTCTCATTCCCACCCACATGTTGTGCTGTTCATTTTCAACAGTGTCTAGAGAGTACCACGGCTGCATGTGTTATATGTGTTCACCCTTTGTCCCTCCATTTCTTCCCTTGCTTCCCTTCCCTTCCCAAAGACAGATAAACAAAGGCAACAGGAAAAGAAATCATCCACCAAAACCAGCAACAATGAGGGGAAAAAAAACCTCTGTTTCCATTTCCTGGAATTCATTTCAATAAATATTAGTTTATGTGATCAGAGGTGCACTGACACTGTGCTCTTGTAACAGGATACATTTAATGGAAAAAGAATGAGCACTGGGTTATGAGGATCAGGAATAAGACGTGAATGGCCACTTTCCTCCCTGCTATTCAATATAGTGTAGACGGTTCTCCCTCGTGTAGTAAAGCAAGTGCCTACGTAATGGAAAGGGACAAATAAGACTGTCCTTATGTGATGGTGACATGATCGTCTATGCAGAAAATCCTAAGGATTCTACAAACATATTCCTAGAACTGAGTGCAGCAAGTCACAATAAATAGGGGGAAACATTCTTATGTTTCAGTCCATTAACTTAAGTTCTAATGTTTACTTTCTCTCCTGTTTTCTTTAGATTTACTTGTTGCTCTTGGTGGTTTTCTAATATGAAAGATTGGGTAACTGATATTAGCTATCTTGTCTTTTCCAATACATTACTCCCCATATGACACATTTCCCATGAGGCACTGCGTCTCACAAGTTTTGATGAATTGTGCGCATTCTTTTTGGATCTGTTCTAATGCACTGGTGAGAATTGTCCCGAAATTCCTCCACAAAGATGCCTCTGTTTTCACAGGTTTTCCTCAGGCCCTTTAACCCAAATGACAAGTCATATTTCTTCTACATTGTTCTTTCTCCTGTATTCTAGTTTTCTTTTTCCAAATTACTTCTCCAAATTACTGTTGGAAGAATCTCTTCCTAGTACCTGGGTATCTCATGGGTGAGCATGTGGCAAAGAATAGTAACAGCTAAGGCAGAGGTAGCATCATGGGTATCAGAAAAAACTTACCTGAATAGGATTTAGCATAGTCCTAATGTCGACATTTCTAAAATAACAATAGATTTTTTTTTCTCCTGAGGTATCCTTTGGCAGGTAATCATGTCTACAGTTCTTTAAGACCTTTCGGTTTCTTATTGATAAACTGTGAGAAGAGAGTATCTAGAAGTTCATCTGATTAAGTTGAAGTTGGGGGAATGCAGATAGCTTAGTGGATGATTGAGAGGCAGCCTAGATACCATTTTTGTGGCAAATAATCTGGTTTTACTTTCTTTTTCACTTCTAGATTGTGCAAATTATTATTGCCCTTCTGAATCTCAGCTTAGGAATCTTAATGATGTGCATCCTGATTCCTTTTACTTGGCTCCTTCCTATTTCAGTGTACGCAGGGTACACGGTTTGGGGATCGGTAATGGTGAGTTGCAGACCGTCTGACACTGTGGTGGAGAATGCGACACTGCTGTTAAAATCTTCTCCCTTGCAGATGAAACCTTAGCCTGATTCTATCCCACACTTCCTTGACTACTCAGTTTTCTACATTTTTAAATGGTAATGTCAACGTAAACCTCACAGGAAGTTAAGGAGAATCATCACTTAAAATGTGAAATTAGGATATATTGTAGTTACAATCTAGTCACAAGCTCTATCCAGAATGACTTCAATAGTGACAGCTTTGCTTTCCTCACAAGAAGTCCAGTGGCTTGTCACTCCTATGGTTGGTTTACTCAGCAGAGCAAGGGCATCACTGAACAATTCCAGCAAGCATGTCAGATATGGTCACACATCTCTTTAATACATTCTCCTAAGGGGTCTGTCTGGTAGGAGTCCTTTGTTCTTATGAGGAAAAAGAAAAAAAAAAGTTATTAGCAAACTTCTGTGTTTCTTTTAAGATAGTTTTTGCATGTAAATTTAAGACTTCAGTTAATTGTGGTTTTGAATGACTGTTAAAAGATTTTTCCCCCTTAATTTTGTTTCTCTTTTACTAGTTTATTATTTCAGGATCTCTGTCCACTGCAGCAGGAATAAGAATGACAAGAGGTCTAGTAAGTGATATTTATTTTATTTTGGTATCAGAAAAGGCAAGATTGAATCAAATATACATTTTGGAGCTGGGTGCCAGTGGCTTACACCTGTAATACTAGCAACTCAGGAGGCTGAGCTCTGAGGATTGTGGTTTGAAGCCAGCCAGGACAGGAAAGTCCATAAGACCTTATCTCCAACTAACCAACAAAAAACTGGAAGTGGCACTATGGTTCAAAGAGGTAGAGTGCTAGCCTTGAGCAAAAAAGCTCAGGGATATGCACAGGCCATGAGTTCAAGCCCACGATTGACAAAAAATTTTAATTACATATATATGTACATATATATATATATATATATATATATATACACACACATTTTTCCTGGCTATGTTTGTATAGGGGTATCTGTGTGTATGTGTTTAAAACATTAAGAGAGGCTGGTGCTGGTGGTTCACACCTGTAATCCTAATTATTTGGAAGGCTGAGATCTGATGATTACATTTCAAAGCCAGCTTGGGCAAGAAAGTCTAAGAGACTTTTTATCTCCAATTAACTACCAAAAAGCCAGAATTGGGACTATGGCTTAGGTTGTAGAGCATTAGCCTTGAGCAAAAGAGCTCAGGAGCATCACCTAGATAGGCTCTGAGTTCAAGCTACAGGACTGGCACCAAAAAAATCAAGAAAGATCATGCTTTGTACCTTGAAAGGTGTACCTTTCCAAAATTGTAATCCAACAATTGGCCTGCAACAGAACTCCTCACGAGGGGTTGGACGTTGTACGAAGATCAATGCAGAGGGAACCTTTGTCAGATGTAGAGAATTCTGGGGAAGAAATGTCAAGCGTGGCCAATCAAACACACAGTGAAGTTTGACATCCAGCCCATGAGAATCTCACCAAGCATTGGAGTAGCATGATGGTTTTCTTTAACTGATAGAGTTAAAATATATAGTCCAATTTCAACCAGAAAGGATTCTGAGTTTGCAATTGAAAGGTTCACAATAAGCTTACTTAGAAAGAAACAAGCTTAATATATAACTCTCATGCCAAGATGTGTCACGGATCCTAAAACAAAGCAAAAAGCAAGATCTCTGATGAACAAATAGTAAACTATGTTCACACACATAAACAAGAAGTTCTATAATATAATATGCCTTAATAAATATAGTAATTCCAAATCTGGCTCCAATCTGCCTTTGAAGCATCATCTCTAAACTACTACCTTTTAAAGGCTCCCCAGGCTGCATTCCCACCAAACCACACACATTTTTCTAAGCAATTTTAGTTCTTTTTGTTGTTGTTGTTGGTCATGGGGGCTGAACTCTGAGCCTGGGTGCTGTCCCTCAACTCTTCAGCTCAAGGCTAGCGCTCTACCACTTGAGCCACAGCACCACTCTGGCTCTTTTCTGCTTATGTGGTGCTGAGGAATTGAGCCCAGGGCCTCATGCATGCAAGGCAAGCACTCTACCACTGAGCCAGCTTCCCAACCCAATTTTAGTTCTTTTAAACGCTAACCATGAGCAGACAATGTAGGTAAAGACACAGAGAGATCTAAGGGACAAAAGGAACCGAGCCGTGAGTACTAAGTAGCATTTTAGAAAACATTGTGTTCAGGCATCTGTAGCAAAGCCTAGTTAGAAGGCAGATGGGCAGCACGGTCCAGCTAAAGTGTAAAGGAGTTTGCAATATCCATTATAAAACTTAGAGTTTATCTTTTGTTGTCTGAGGAGTCATCTGGAGATACAATGCGAATGACAGGTGATATTTTGGGGAAGAGATTGAGTTGAAAGTACAATAAGGAAAGAGACCAAGGAGAGGACTATTACTCAATCGAGCTACAGAAGGTGGCACATGTGGGTAAAGGAAAGAGCCATACATGATGGAGATGTGTCAGAGAAGGCTGTTGCATTGCCTAATTGATCTTCATTACTTGTTTTCATTTTAGGTCCAAGGTAGTGTAGGTTTGAACATCACCAGCAGTGTGCTCGCGGTTGCTGGGATCATAATTAGTGCCATAAGCCTGAGCATTTTGTCATACGGCTTCTATTACTGTGGCTATGATGAGGGCTTCAACAGTTGTTTTATCATTCTGGTGAGTATTTCTTCTTTTCCGGAGACGTGATGGTGGCAGCGAGTATATTGAGAACTGGCTGTGGCAAAAGCTATAGCTTCCTTGCTGAATCACCTGTGGAAGTTGAAAATGATTGTGAAACAGGCCAATTCCTTGAGGAATTAACATCTCATGTCTCTTTGTTCGGCATCTGCATCTGAAAAGACCAAAGATGTGGAAGGCTTACCCTTAGACATGACCCATTCCTTGTTAGTAGCATGGAAGATATTTTCTCAATTATTCTTTTCTCATTTATTTTCTAAATACTGTTTAGAAAATAACTATTAGTCCCTGTGTGTCTCGGGGCTTCTGGATGGAGTCTGATAGAATTACCTGGCTCTCAAACAATAAATTAACTTCTCTTGAACACTCTGCTAGAGTGATGAGCAACCTTGTACCTTTCTTTTTTTTTAATTTAATTTTATTTTATTTGTGAACATACTGTACAGAGGGGTTACAATTGCATGGGCAGGATAATGCATACATTTCTTACCAAGCATTGCAGCCTCCTCCTTTGTTTACCCTTTCCATCCCTTCCCAGCCTCCCCCCTCCCCCCCTTGTACCTTTCTTAATCCTCTTCTGTTCTTTCAAGTCTAACCACTTTTAGCACCAGCTCCTGGCCCCTGACAAATTTTCAGTGCGTACCCTGTGTGTTACTTCATGGTTGGACCACCTTTCGTCACCCACATGACATCCTACTTGCTTTGTTGTCCAAATGATTGCTTTCACAATTATTTGCAGGCAGTAAAACGTTCAAGTTTTGGGCTTTTGAGTACTTGCAATAAGAGTTATTGGAATACATTATAGGTGATTAAAATGATAGCTTGGAGATTTGCTTTTGTTGTGATATTAGGAATTGAACTCAGGCCCTTGTGTTTGCTACACAGATGCTCTACTCCTTGAACCATTTTTTCAGCCTAATATTTAGTATTCATACATCTATCGACTATTTAGCAGTATTGATCTATTGATCTATTTAGCAGTATTGGGGTGTGAACTCAGAACCTAGAACTTCTTAGGCAGGCACTCTATCTTCTGAGCCATGCCTCTAGCTCATTATTTTGCTAATTTCTACCAAAATAATCCCATGAAAATCTTTAGTGACTTAATGTAATTCTGAGATTTCTAGTGGTTTTCAAAGTGAGCAATTTTATTGCTCGCCATTTGTTCCAAATAAGGTTATTTTTGTTGTTGTTGTTGTTGGTCGTGGGGCTTGAACTCTGGGCCTGGGCGCTGACCCTCAGCTCTTCAGCTCAAGGCGAGCGCTTTACCACTTGAGCTACAGCGCCACTTCCGGTTTTCTGGTGGTTTATTGGAGATAGGAGTCTCACGGTCTCTCCTGCCTGGGCTGGCTTTGAACCGTGATCCTCAGATCTCAGCCTCCTGAGTAGCTAGGATTACAGGCGTGAGCCACCAGCGCCCAGCCCAAATAAGGTTATTTTGAGTGAGCCTAACGTTTTCCCAACATTGCTTAGAAGCTGGAAAAAGCAAGACTAGATTCTGAAATTTCCTGCCTGCAATTCACAACTGTAAAGCTTCTTCTATGTAGCAATCCTGACTTCTTATTTCCGAAGATCTGTTTACTTAGAGACTTTCATAGAATGTGGGGAGGGTTAAAATTCTGGGGTTCACTAGCTTCAAAGGGTTGGATTTCATGGGTATGAGATCTGTGCACTCTCAGAGTAACTGCTATAACTAGAACTTAGCCCTTGGTTTAATGCTCTGCTGCTGCTATCCTGAAATAATCAATATCATTTTTCCTTTTTAAATATTTATTCAAAAATGAAATATAATATACTTATTTTAAATGTAGCATATATTATTAGGCAAGCCATTGATTTGGCATCACTAGAAATTATGCGTGTCTTAATATGTGAAATAGAAATTCCATCCTGAAAGTCTATGTAAGTTATTTCAATATCATTTTTAAAAGGAGGTTTTGGCAACTACATAGCTGTGTCTCTATTCATCCGTCATCCTCTCCAAGTTCCTGGTGAACTCCTGGAAATGGTGTGAATTTTGTTTTGTTCTGCCTCTTCTTCTAGAAGAAGATTTCCATAAGGACCTTTTCGATTTGAAGTGCTAAGTTTGTTCCTCTGTGGGTCCCTGCGTGGTCAGCTCACATACCTAGGAGCCCATATTTTATGCCAGTTCTCAGGATTGGCTCTCTCAGAGATGTTTGTAGGGGAAGAGAGACTCCGGAAGTTCAAGAAGCTCCAGTACTTCTTGGGAGAAAAAGATATTACAAAACTTGTAATGGTGCATAGAAGTCAGGAAGTGAGTTTTCTATAAGAAAGAACAGGGAGAGAGTATATTACTTGGAATTGTTGAGCCAAAGCACACAAATTTGCCAATTACCTCTTATGGTTGATCTTGAAAGATGGCATCAACTAACATGTTATGTGTCTTTCTAAAAGTAAGAGAGTAAGTGACATTCAGTAGGCCACAATTTGGGAAAGGTATATGCTATATTAGGAGGGAATTTTCCAGGCGTCTGGTCACTGCCTTTTCTCTGTAGGCATGATAATTAGTAGTAAGAGAGTCGAACACAGGATCTCCATCACTCCCATTCTGATGCTGTGAATTTGTTCTTAGGGCCTGGATGGTGTGGTACTCCTGCTAAGTGTGCTGGAATTCTGCATTGCCATATCCCTCTCTGTCTTTGGATGCAAAGTAACCTGTTGTAACCCTGGTGGAGTAAGTGTGGGCCTCTAATAGAAGATGTCTCTACGAGCATTTTATTGGTGCCTAATTTGCTACAGAAATGCAGCAAATATTTATTAGTTCTGTTTTTTACAGATCAAGATTCCCAGCACAGCTTGTCTGGTGGCTCTGATCAAGTTCTTAAGAGGGCTGCACTCTCAGGATGGGCTTGGGCTAAGGTCTCATCTGAAGGTTTCTTTGATTGGTTGATTGTTTTGTGCCAGTCCTAGGGCTTGAATCCACAGCCTGGGTGTTGTCCCTGAGCTGTTTTCTTTCTTTCTTTCTTCCTTCCTTTTTTTTTTTTTTTGCTCAAGGCTATCTTCCTACCACTTGAGCCACAACTCAAACTTCCAGTTTTCTTGTGCTTTGAACCACAGTCCTCAGGAGTAGCCACCAGCTTGCTTGGATGATCCCAAGTTTTTCTTCTTCTAGTCTTACAATGAGGAGTTCAATCCATGTTAGAAATAGAACTCATGACAATGGTTTTTTTTTTTTTTCCCTTGAGGCTAGCAGGAGAGAAAATGTCGCAAGTTGTCTCAGGGTGTTTGGAAATTTCAAAATTATTGGATTGGGTTCTCCAGAATAATGGCTTTGGGATACACTTAAAGGAAATGGATCTGTTGTCTACTCGCAGGAGTGAGATCTTGTCATTTACAAGATCTTACACTGACTCAAGAGAAGAGAATGACCTGAGGGTGTGTCCATGAGTGTCATCTCTGAATTATACCTTCCATCATGGCAGAAGAGCTATTTTTCCATCTTTACTTGCTCAATGGGCATCAAAATTATGTCCAGTTCTAAATGAAGTGATGTCCTAGACTTTTCTCTATTAATATAGCACCCGTCAAGGATGGAACTTCTGTCAATAGTTACAAAGAATAAAGTATCTGGCCATTATCTTTCCCTGACCCCTTCAGCAGATCCTTCTGGCTGCCATCACAGAGATATGCAGAGATGGGGGGAAGTGAAATATGAAAGGAGAGAAGAGATCAAGAAAAAGGGCCTGGGCATAAAGAGAGCAAGGCAATCTTACAAGCACTGAGGGTTTCAATGTGGGAAAGTAGGCAATGAAATCCGAACAGTTGCCCATTACCTTTCTTATCCAAAAGGCCTGGAACAGACACAGATCTCAGTCAACTAAGGTGACAGTAGTATGATGAGACCAGGTGGCCAAGGTGCATCCTGTGTACCTCTTTACTTCCTTTTGGGTTTCCCAGACAACATCACACCCTTCACCCTCAACCTCTACCCCCCTGGATAGGATTTGGACTAAATCACATTACCATTTTATTGGGGCTTGCATGGTGAAGCAGCTAGGACCATGAGTTTCTTAGAAGCTATCAAAGACTTTGTAACTTTGTTTGGATGCAGTGTTGCATTTTTATTAAGCAAAGCATTGGAACAGGAGGGCATCCCTTCGTAGTAATCAAACTTTCACATCTGAGTACCTGCTCCTTCTCTTGTTGAGTACTTGTAGAGCTGAGAAATGTGGTTGCTGTTGATTCGTGTTAATTCCAATAAAGCAGAGGTTTAAGTCTACCTGTCTTCCCTGTTCCACTACTGCCTCCAGCCACCTCCAAGTCATATGAGTTTGTAGAGTAAGGGCCAGAATTTCCTTTGCACTCTTGGTCATTCCTACCATTTTGGGACAAATGTAGTTTTTACAGTGCTTTATTTGTGGCCAGACAATCGTGACTTGAGTCTGCTGCTGGTATCAGCAGTGCAAATTAAATTAGAAGGAGACCTAGGCATTTTCCTTGACATCATCACAGGTCAGATTAGTGACTGACATCAAGACCTATCACCCAGGGTGTAGTCTGTGGTCTAACCTGACCCAGGGAGTGCCAGCAAAGCTCATCAGATTGATCTTGAGTGTCAATACAGAGATGACATTTTAGGCACTAGTAATGATAACAATATGAGGGTAAAAATGAGGAAGTCCTGACTGTATTTGAATGACTCAATCACATTCTGCTTGGCTTCACAGGTTGTGCTAATTGTGCCATCAAACCCTCCAAGGGAAGAAAAAGCTTCTCCTGTTCTTCTTGAAGGAGGGTTGATACCACCAAAAGGCCAAGACCAGAATGTTTGAGGAAATCTATCCTGAGTAATGCAAAGACACTTCTTGGGAAAAAAAACAGCATTGGACTCTGATGTGTGTTTGTGTGTGTGTGTGTGTGTGTGTGTGTACACGTGTGTTTGTGTGCATGTGGGCATATACAAATTCAGAGACCATGTTCTCATTTCTTCCCTAGAAAGTTGACAACATATTCTACTCATTCTACTGGATTTGTGTCATAGTATCAGAATCTGAACAAATAAATCATGCGTGTAATGGGTTACAGCACTTGACTTTTTTTAAAAAAATTAAGCCAAGGTTTAATTGCTCCTTTGGATGCAAGAAGATTAGCTCAAGACTTTTCTTTTTACATATGATAACTTTTCTGCCCAAGTCAAAGGCTATAATTTCCCCTAACTCAAATCTTTGGGAAGACTCACCAGGCATACTCACAAGGGGCGTTATTTAAGAGAGAGGGCAGGCTGGGAAGGTGGCTCAGTGGTAGAGCGCTTGCCTTGCATGCCTGAGGCCCTGGGTTCAATTCCTCAGCACCACATAAGCAAAATGAAAAAAGCCGGAAGTGGTGCTGTGGTTCAAGTAGTAGAGCGCTAGCCTTGAGCTGAAGAGCTGAGGGACAGCGCCCAGGCCCAGAGTTCAGGCCCCACAACCGGACCCAAAAAAAAAAAGAGAGAGGGCAGAAGGGAATTGGGGATGCCCATAATATGAGCTCTTCACATGCCAGGCCAGACAGTGGGCTGTGCAGAACTCTGACTTGGATTGCCTAGATCTGGGCAAGTAAACATAAATCTAAGTCAATTACTATCCTCAAAGTTAAGTTTCAATTTTCTGTTTCTTTGCTCGATTTAGATACCTCTTGGTTTCTTCTGTGTGTGTTGTCACTTGTGGCAAAAAGCCAGTCATTGTAGCTGTTTAACTAGACATTGCTCTCAGGTGCTGTTAATCTTCTATCAAATCTATCTATCTATGAGTATCTATAGATAGCATTTTCTATTGCTGATAAAAATACATGCACATGCTTAAGCAACACACACATACATACATACACTGAATCATTTGAAAGTATGATAAGCACGGGATGGCCACTAAGGCATTCTGGGAACTCCCATCCCCACCAAGACAAGTATTTATTGATGAAAATAACAAAAAGCTGTTACTTTGTGTCCTGGGGACCACTTTCAGGAACTAAGCATGATATCAAGTTCCTTTGTTGCCTCTTAAAGAAATGAAACCGTGGCAGCCTTTCCTCTCATGACCTGAGCTGATGCGACATTCTTCCTCTCAGCGTCTGGAGTCTCAGAGCCCGGCAGAGCAAGCTCCATTCCGAGTCTCCATGGTAGCATGGCGCCCTTCCTGCTGGGAACGGCATGTCTTGATTGAGCTTAGCAGTTATACCTTTAAGGGCCTGAGCTGACAGGGTGGACCCATGTCCTTGGTCATCATGGAAGTTTGGCTATACAGTGTGACTTTGATCCCCACAATCAGAGCTATTTCTGCCTGGATGGAATCTCCCCTCCGTCTCCGTCCCCAGGGGTACTCTGCCTCCCCAGCCATGGTGGAGACGTCTGTTGATCTCGCCTTGCTTCTCTGGTCTTCATCACAGCTCTGCCCCATAATGACCCCAAATCGTAGATTCCACTTCACCTGGCTTCACAGAGCCCACGTGATTACAATGTCCAGCCATCCCAGGGTCATTCTCTAGGGTCCGAGTTGCTTCTGCACCCTGTTGGTTAAAGATCCTGATTGTCCATTTGGATCTATGTTTCCCTGGGGCCCAGATCGCCTCCTCGGACAGCTCTGCTGATACCAAGGGTAACACTGATAGACCCAGGTATGAGCTTCTATAAAGTCCTAGAATTACAGACCGCCAGGCCCTGTAGAATGAACTCATGCCTCGATTCCAGGTGAACACTATTGGCTGCACCTCCAAGCTCAGGACCTGGCTCTCCATCTACTCCTGTGAGATGGTGCTTTGGATTTTAGAATCTGCCATGGCTGCCTGCCTGTTGTCAGGATCACCCCTAAAGAGGGAACCCTTCGGATCGCCTCTCCCATGCAAAGGAAACCAAGAATGAAGGTAACCCCACAAACCCTGGCGACTGAGCCCTCAAGAGCCAACTCTCCCACCGCTGTGGTCAGCAACACCTGCAGCTCAGACTCCTGCAGACATCCTCTGCCACGGTGGACAGAGCCTACACCACAGCGAGAAATCCGAACCTGAGCCACTGCCTTGCACCCAGCAGGTGGGCAGGTGAATGACTGTCACTATGGAGACCATACCTTACGGCGTGGAAGAAATGATGCTTTCCTGATCTAGTCTGCACGTCTCCCTCCAGGAGAGGCTTCACAGGCTTCCTGCATTGGTGTGTCTCCTGCCAGTTCCTCAGCTCTCCCATTCAGTGATTCTATCTCCAGGGAGTCTCCTGTTCATTCCCAAGGTCATTGTCAGCATGGTTCCCTTACCTTGTGGGCAACTGCTCACTCAGCATTTGAACCTAGGTTAATTTGTTGACTTGTCTGAATTTTTCTGGGAGCCTCTAAGACTTCTGGGAGGCAGAGTTTGTGGATAGTTTTGCCTCATCCTATCTAAGCCTATAATGTGTTGCTTGGTTGCTAGTCATTTTTCTCTTACCAAATACTGAACAAACAAAAAAGTAACACTGTTTTGCTTTCCTCTTTGCTACTGAATGATACAGTTTATCCCCCCAGGGTTCCTATGTCAGGGGGTCGGCCCTCTCTGTGGTCTGTCAAGAAGTGTAAGAGATGGAGCTTAGAGGCAGATGGCTTCAAAGAGATTAAGGGTCAGGCACTGGTGGCTCATGCTTGTAGTCCTAGCTACTCCGGAGGCTGATATCTGAGGATCCTGATTGGAAGCCAGCTTGGGCGGGAAAGTCTTTAGAGATGCTTATCTCCAGTTAACCACCCCCAAACAGAAAGTGGAGCTGTGGCTCAAAGTGGTAGAACACTAGCCTTGAGCAAGAGCTCAGGGACAATGCCCAAGGTCCTGAGTTCAAGCCTCAAGACCAATGAGAGAGAGAGGGAGAGAGACAGAGACAGAGAGACAGAGACACAGAGAGAGACAGAGACAGACAGAGAGACAGAGAGAGAAGTAAGGTAGTATTCATGGTACCCTGGTTATTTCCCCGAGATGATAAGTTGTTATAAAAAGAGAAAGCTTGGCATCTCTCCACTCAGTTTTTCTACATTGCCATGTGATCTAAATCTCATATACACAAACATTGTCATGCAGTTTACTTGATTTTGATGGAGCCGGAAGACCCTCATTAAACCCAGCGAATTCTGTGGGCATGCTCTTGAATTTCCAATATCATGAACTAACCTTTTCTCTGCAAATGGCACAGTACCAAACATTTTGTGATAACAATAGAAAATGGGCCAATATGTTCTTTTATGCAAGGCTAGGACTGTGCATTTTGTCAGTGAGGAATGCAGCAAGATCATGCAACAAATGGTAGCAATTGAGTTTATCTTAGAAAAAGACCTGGCTCTTCCTATGAAACCAGGTGATTATCAAATTGATACATTCAGTCATGGTGTGCAATCAACTTATTGCCATTTCATAGATATTCATGACAAATCTCTAATTGTGGAATTACATGTAAATAGTGTGTGTGTGTGTGTGTGTGTGTGTGTGTGTGTGTGTGTGTGTGTACTGGTCTTGAGACATGATGAAGGATCTAGGCACTGTCTGAGCTTTTTTGCTCAAGGTTAATGCTCTACACTTGAACCACAGCTCTACTTTCAGACTTTTGGTAGTTTACTGGAGATAAGAGTCTCACAGACTTTCCTGCCCTGGAGTTGACTTTGATCTACAATCCTCAGAGCTCAGCCTCCTGACTATCTAGTATTACAGGCCTGTAAATACATATTTAAGTTCCGTATAGGCAGTTCTTTAGGAAAATGTGGGCAATGTAACATAGAAATGTGTAACCTTTTGAAAATGAGATTTTTTAAGAGGCTTCAAACACCATTGGATTAGTCTGTGGATGTTCAGATCTTTGACAGAGTCTGGCACAGAGTGAACCCTCACACTGACATCAACAGTAATGCCATTAGTATCATTTTAATCAATTTAACGAGTGGCGACCACTGTGTGCAAAAAAATTCACAATAGGTATACACCCATGCTCAGGGGACAAAATCAATAAACTTCTGACATAAAAAAGGAAGTAGCAGTGTATCTCATAAATTCTCCACACAAGCAGTGTGTCTCACAAATTCCCCCACACCCCTCAGACCACAGAGGGAGCTGTGCGGTGAACTTGATGGATGTCCCCAGAGCTTTGCCCTCATCAGACACCCAACTAACATTAACAGGCGAAAGCAGGTAGGTTCACGAACTTGCTTCATGGGTTATGGGACAAAGTTTTATACATATATACTGGATGCAGGAAAAAATATATGCTGGGTATAGGAATATATATGTACATATATACTGGGTGTAGGAATATATATATACATATACATATGTATACTGAATATAGGAACATATGTATACTGGGTATAGGAATATATATATCCTTATATATAAATATACTGAGTGCAGAAACATATATATCTTGGGTGTAGGAATATGTATGTAAACATATATACACTGGAGGTAGGAATATATATATGCTGAGCATATGAATATATATTTATATATACTTATATACTGGAATACATATGGGAATATATATATATATATATATACTCATGTATACTGGATGTAGGAATATATATATATACTGGTTGTAGGAATATATGTATGTATATATATACTGGATGTAGTACTATATACACATATAGACTGGATGTAGGAATATATTATAATGCATATATAGACTGGATATAGGAATATATATGTATGTGTATACATATGCGCACACACACACACACATATACACACACACACACTCACACACACACACACAGATACACTGGATGCAGGATTTCCAGGAGTGGAATGGGAAAAAAGACAAAGGCAGATCGCATGGCACACATTGGTTTTCTGCTTTGGGTGGGTTGAGGGAACCTTTTAATAGAGCTGTGGGGTATTTGAGAAGCAGATCTTGCTACAGAGGATGGAGATAAGAGAAATTTCCTAAAGGTCAAAGCTGTATGAGAGTGTTGTAGTTTCTGTCTCTAAATTTCCAGGCTATCATAATATAGAAGAACGATTTAAACTGAAGCTATCATTCCAAACAAATGCAACAATTATAACTTGCAAGCTCCTACTATATTATATATTATTATATTCTGCTTATATACTAATGATAGATACCCATCTATAGCCATATTAAAAATGCAGCAGAAATAAAGCTATGTATCTTTCTATTATCAATCTATCTTCATTGTTATCATCCATCTAGATAGGTTTGTTTATAAAACCATATTTTGTGATTCACAAAAGTAAGACACTTTTAAGAGGACAAGGTATGATTATCTACAGTAAAGGCAATGTCATATAATGCTAAATCTGGCTCTAAGATCTCTAAGAACAAATGTTTGACCAAAGATCCAAAATATGAAAATCTAAGGGGACAGGGTATGTGGCTCAGTGATAGAGTGCTTGCCTAGCATGCATGAAGCCTTGGGTTCAATTCCTCAGTACCACACACACAGAAAAACCTGGAAGTGGTGCTGTGGCTCAAGTGGTAGAGTGCTAGCCCTGAGCAACAGAAGCTCAGGGACAGTATCCAGGCCCTTAGTTCAAGCCCCTGGACTGGCAAAAAAAAAAAAATTTAAACAATTCAGCCTATAAGAAATGACATTTTGGAGAGCAAATGTGCTGTTAAATGAATATGACACCAACCTTCTGTTCTTATGGCTTTCTGCCAACCAACTCTTTTCTCAAATCATTGTGACTCATAACAATTTCACCCCTTTCTTTCAGTAGATAGGCATTTCTGGGCTTGCATTGTTTCATTTCTTGAAAAGAAATGTATGCTTCATCTTACAGAAGCAGATTTTAAATCTGTAAACTCAGAGGTCACATTGCTTAGCTCAGCAACTACAAAGACATTGAGATTTCAGCTTCCAAACCAGAACCTTCTTGTGCTCTTTAGATTGTAATCTCTGTAGTATTTATTATTTGTTTGAATTTCCCTTAAAAACATAAGAGAATATATTTCCAAATCATTTAACTTTAAATATTCAGGTAGAAGGCTTTATGAATACTTTCATTAAAAAAAAACCCACAATACAAACAGAAGATTTGTTTTCCTTCCGCATTGAAATGGTAGAAATTAACTCTGGTTTTTCCTTAGAAACCAACACATCTCATCATGTTTTAGCATTGAAACTTACAGTCATCCCAGAAAAGTTTCTCATGAAGTACATGAATGAACTACGTGGAGTCCAAATCAATTAACAATGTGTGGATCCATTTAAAAACAAAGGCCAAGCACCAGTGGCTCACACATGTCATCCTAGCTACTCAGGAGGCTCGGATCTGAGGACTGAAGTTCTAAGCCAGCCTGGACAGGAAAGCCTGTGAGACTCTTACCTCCGATTAACCAGCAAGAGGCCAAGTGGAGCTGTGGCTCAAATAGTAGAGCGCTAGCCTTGAGCACAAAAGCTAAGACAGGGCCCAGGCCCTGAGTTTAAGACTGGCACACACTCACCAGAATATCAACTAACCATACAAACAAGCCAAGATCCCAAACAATACCAAGAAATATTAAGAAAATTTTTTGAGTTCTTCCTCCCTCCCTCCCTCCCTCCCTCCCTCCCTTCCTCCCTCCCTTCCTTCCTTCCTTCCTTTCTTCCTTCCTTCTTTCCTTCCTTCCTTCCTTCTCTTTCCTACCTTCCCTTCCTTCCTTCCTTCCTTCCTTCCTTTCTTTCTTTCTTTCTTTCTTTCTTTTTTCTTCATATATATTTTTATTGTAAAAATACTGTACAGAGGGGGTTACAGTTACTTTCTTTCTTTCTTTCTTTCTTTCTTTCTTTCTTTCTTTCTTTCTTTCTTTCTTTCTTTCTTTGTTGTGAAGCTTGAACTCAAGGCCTGGGTATTGTCCCTGAGCTCTTTTGCTAAAGTCTAGCACTCTACCACTTTGAGCCACAACCCTACTTCTGGTTTTCTGGTGGTTAATTGGAGATAAGGGTCTCATGACCTTTCCTGCCAGGCTGGCTTTGAACTATGATCCTCAGATCTCAGACTCCTGAGAAGCTAGGATTACAGGTGTGAACCCCTAGCTTTTTAAACAAGAAGGAGAAGAAGAAGAAGGAGAAGGAGGAGGAGGAGGAGGAGGAGGAGGAGGAAGCAGAAGGGGAAAGAAACCCTTTGAAAGAACTAAAATCTTGAGTGGGTGTTGCTACTGCATTTGTACTTGAATCCTCTGGTGAATCAATTCCTCTTTGTCCATGTTGTAATGTACCTGGGCTCTGATTTGGCCAAAGGCAACTATAAAAAACTTATATTACCATGGATAGGATTGTAGATGGTTCTCTGTAGTTCCCAACTTACCAAAGTGATCCTTCAGATGAGGACATAGCTGTTGTTGAGGGAAAGGGCAATAAAAGGAACATAGCAAAAATATCATCTAAATAGATATATAAACTTGAAGAAATTGCCCTAATTTTGAGTCCAACAGATTTGACTCGGTGCTTTCCACCTTTTACTCTCTTCAATACTTTCTCACATATTTATATCATATGGTATTTAGATCCTCTTTCTCTCACACAGGTACACACACATTCTTACAGGGCCTTAGTTAGCTATTATAACATAGGAGAGGAATCTAATACCTAATTTGCCCTTAGAGGAGTGTGACAGTTAAGCAAGATGGTCAACTTGACTGGATTACAAGTGCCTAGGAGATTAGTAAAGCCCGTGCTGGGTGTATCTCTGAGGACATTTTAGAGACAATTCCATCATGAATGCCCTGACCAGAAAAATACCTGAATTCACTAATGGATTAAACATTTGAATATGATTTGGGAGGTGGAGGTGGTAGAACTATGGCAGGTGGGCCTTGGTTAGAGGAAGTTGGTCACTGGGGGGGGGAGGGGGGAGTCATGGAGGATTTCATCTTATCTTTGCCTCTTTCTGTTCTGACAGTCTCTTCCCGTCAGTCATGAGGTGAGCTGCTCTGTTCTGTCACACCTACCCTGCCACATGGACTGACGGTTCTCAAGTCCTGAGCCAAAAATAAAACCAATCATTCCCCTTGGACTTGTTTTGCCATTTTGGTCCCAGCTATGCAAGAGTAACTAAAAATACTGAAAAACTTGTACTAACCCATCTCGTTCCATTCTTACCTTTCCAAGATCTCCACCCTAAGTCGCATTTCTAATTGCAGCACCGTTTCTGCTGTGATGGCAACCAGACATATTTCAGGAGAGACCACACTGGAGGCTGTTCCTGATGCAAAGAATTCTGGGAAAGTTGTTTCTCTCGAGTCAGATCTGTGGAGACAAAGAACAGCAAGGTTCTTGGAGGGAGAGCCCAAAGTGTTGGGGGTAAGTCATTTTACATGTTTGAAAGAATAATGGCATTGTCAATGCACAGCTGATGAGGCTATGCTGCTAAACTAAGAGTACATCAGAATTCTAGTCATTCCTATTTGATTTGCAAGACTCATCATTTAAAACTTGATGTAATCTTATACTGCACCACACATTTTTTGGTTATATTTCAGTTTTACCACTTCCAGATGTCTTCTAAGTTGTGGTTAGCCCAGGATAATTATATTTAACCTTAGTATAAGAACACCGAAAGGAAATGTTATATGTTTCCTAGTGAAATTTCCTGTATGTCTTACATACTGTAAAAACAAATATACTCACTATGAAAAAGAAATATTATTCAAGTCACACAAGCCTTGAAGATTTTAGTATCTAGGTGCATGAGAAATGCTTATGTGTAAGTTTCTTTTTCTTTAGTAATATCTGTCTGGTTTTGTAATCATGGTGGCCTAGCCAAGGCCCTCAACATCAACTATGATGCATTGTGGAGAATTGTAACTTTTTAAAAAGTTGGTGGAATTCACCATGGAAATGTTCTGGGGCATTCTCTTATTTGAATATCATTCATGATTGATTCGCTCTACTTAATGACATTAGGGCTATTTAGATTGTTTAATTTTTATTTTGACGTTTGATTCATTGGTTAGTTAAGAGGTGATATGTTTCATGGAGGCTCTCTCTTTTGGAAAGAGTTTCACCTATTCTTTTGTTGAGTTTTGATGTCCATGGGGTCAAAGGTGATGTCCCTACATAATTTCTGATATTAATAATTGATAGTCTCATTCTTTTTTATCTTAGCCTAGCTAGCCGGTCATTGATTTTATTTATCTTTATAGTAAAAACAGTTTTAGCTTTTCTTGTTTTCATTTGTTGTTTTCTTGTTTCCAATTTCATTGATTTATGAACTAATTTTTTCTTCTTGGATGAAATATGCTTTTGTTTCTCTAGTTTCTGTAGGTGAAATCCTTCATCTTACCAATGCATATATCTAATTCCTCACATTTCCTTCTAAGCATGTGTTCCCTGCATTTGACAACTATTCACAAGTTGTTTCCATTCTCTTTGGGACTTTTTTAATTCCATACAGCTAAGCAGTCAAATATTTTTAGGCCACTGTATTCATACTCTTTTCTGAGACCCCCCAAATCCAATAAAAGGCCATATTTGATCTTTGATTTTTTTCTTAATTTTCCCTATATCTAATTTTCTCTCTTCAAGATGCTTCTCCTTGTTGGGAATTACTACAAATACTTGGGCAATGATAGATATTCCAAAGTGGTGTGATTTTTGGTGATGGTATCTCAGAGTCCTTAGGAGAAAACAATGGACAAGAAACTATTTCACAGTTCATCTATACTTATCAAAAGATGGAGAATGAGAGTTCACTTAGTGATTGGATAAATGGCAGCATGGATCGCATTTTTGTCATGAGTAATCTTAGCTTTACATTTCTAGGTTGTGCAAATTATGATTGCTCTGATAACACTCATCCTTGGAGCAGTAATGCAGAGGGCTACAACTCACATGTATCTATGTGACACAGAAAGTACCATTTCAGTTTGCTCCTGCTATTCATTTTGGGGGTCACTGATGGTGAGTAGCATACCTTCTGACGTAACTGTGAGATCAGAACATTGTTTCTAATATCCTTGGCTTGGATAGAATCATCTCTCCACTGTTTCATGTAATTCTATAACTTTCAGAAATGTTCTTAAAGTAAGTTTGAGAAAAACCTTCATTCAATTTTCTCCCATTTAAGTGGCACTTAATCATGAAAAACTCATAGAAAGCTATAGTTATTTAGTAATATTAATTAGGATATATTGTAGCAGCATGTAGCCATAGACTACAGGATGACCTCAACCCTGACAATAGCAACTCTCTCCAGTGGCTAATGGTGTCCAGAGTTGGTTAATTAATAGTACAAGGATCCCACCCAAGATTGTTTAGCAGAGAGTATCTGTTACGTTAATTTATTTCTTTACTCATGAATGTTTTAGGTGCATAGTCTCAAATCAACAGTGGACAAAGTTAAAAGGCTTTCTATCAGTTGTTTGGACTAATTAAAATTAACTTCTTTACCTGGGAATTAATGGGTTTTTAGTAAGTTAGAAGAGGCTAATATGCAGGTCATTTATAGTGTAGATTCTATAAATGTTGATGAACTAGAGTTTATGAACACATGAATGGTTGATTATCTTAAGTGATAGAAAAATATATAAATTTCATTTCAAAAGTTTAATAAAAAACTACAAGAATATTTTAATAATAAATAGAAAAATAATGTATTTTTATTGGTAAATAGAAAAATAAGTAATTGTGGGGGAGAGGGGTTTGAACTCTGGGCCTGAATGCTGTCCCTCAGCTCTTCAGCTCAAGGCTAGTAGCACCACTTCCAGTTTTCTGGTGGTTTATTGGAGATAAGAGTTTCATAAGCTGGGCGCCAGTGGCTCATGCCTGTAATTCTAGCTACCGAGGAAGCTGAGATCTGAGGATCATGGTTCAAAGCCAGCCCGGGCAGGAAAGTCCGTGAAACTCTTATCTCCAATAAACTACCAGAAAACCAGAAGTGGCTCTGTGGCTCAAGCACTAGAGCACTTGCCTTGAGCTGAAAAGCACAGGGACAGCACCCAAGCCCAGAGCTCAAGCCCCACCACCGACAAAAAAAAAAAAAGAGTTTCATAGCCTTTCTTGTCCAGGCTGGCTTTGAACCACAATATTCAGATTTCAGCCTCCAGGTGTGAGCCACTGGCACCTGGAGTAAGTAAAACTTTAAATCATAATTTAATAGTAAAATAATAAGTAAATTTAAAAATAGTATATTAAAATTAAAATTAGAATTTTAAATGTCTAAAATTTAAAACAGTTAAACCTTTAGCACATTATCCCAAGACAAACAAAAATAGGAAAGAGAAAACATAGGAGAGCTTTAGTTGGCAAATTCAGAATGTAAATTAAGTATAAAATATGAAGTTTTCGACAGAGGAAAATAAAATTTATAAACTGGACTATATTCAAACCAAGAACCTATTTAAGTCTTGCATAGTTTCTATTGTTCTGTAAATCTGAAAGTGAGCAAGTTTAGAGATTTAGTAGCAGCCCAGAGTTTTAATTCTGCTGTCTTGTTACAGCAGAATTTTAAGAATGGGAGAAAAGGATATGATGATCAACTTCTGACAATTACAATGAATTTTCTATTCCTAGTAATAGTAATTCTAGTGATAGCTTTTCACTAAACACATACTGCAGTTTCAGCATCCTTCCAAGGGCTTTATATGTTCAATTCCCTCTCAAACAATCACCATAGCCTGTTGAACTGGATTTAATACCACCAGTATTGTGTGGGTCTTAGAAGGATCAAGTGACTTTCTTGAGATCTATTTGATTCATGAGGTATCAATTACCAGAAATGCATTTAATTTAGCTCTCTAGTTTTATTGTTTTGAGTTGCTTTCTTTATGCATTTTGCTATGGCAAGGTTCTCTTATTCAATGTTGCCTTTAAATATATAAATACACACATGTATTATTTGTGCATTGCATACTCTCTGGATATAATGATTTTTCTTATGCTGTATTGAAATTTTATGTTTGTAATAGTTTTTAATGACATTGTTGAATGTTTACAGTATGAATTATATTCATATTAAAATGAAAATTACTGGAGCCATTTTGCTGAAAAATTTTTCATGCAGAAATATTTTGTTTAAAGTACTGAGTTTAATATAATATAATTGTCTACATCCTTACATCGATATTAATGAGGAGCCTAGTGTTTAATAACTTATTAATAACTAAATTAATAAACTAAATTAATAACTGAATGCTCCTAGACTAGTGATCTTCTACTATATAATGAAAAATACAGTTCTTCTTATTTAATCAGTCAAATTTAATTCAATAGTAACTTCAAGCTTATTAAATGTATTGTCAATACTTTAGTACGATTAGCAATTATGTGATATTTTCTTCAATTTTATTCATTTCATAAGTTATACTATTTCAATATTTAAAGTATTTAGACTTTTTATTAATCAGGTTTCCATCACTGTCACAATCAAGATAATATACTTATATTAACAAAAAGGTTCTTTTGGCTGACAGTTTGGGAACTTTGCATTCCTAGTTCAATTGAGTCCACTGTTGTGGGCTATGACAAAGTATTAAGCAGCGTATAACTGCATATCTCATGGCTGTGTACACTCAAAGAAAGGTAAGGGGAAAAAAGGTGCGGCCCCACTATCTTATTCTGGAAAGTCAAACCTGTCAATGTTTTCACCATCTCCCAATTGCACTACACTGTGGATGAAGTCTTTAGTACATGAGCCTTCAAGAGCTCTCATGATCCCCAAATTAGCACATTTGAAGAACCTCTCCACATGTTCACGACTTATTCCTGATCACATGACAGACGATTTCATCTGTTATCATTTTTTCCAAGGGTGGTTTAATTTACACACATCATCTTTCTATCTTGAAATTTAGAAATGGATGGAAGCAATTTCATTAGCTCAGTCACTGCGATACTCAAATCAAATTTGGAAAGCAAAATAAGAAACCTGGAGCATTCAATGGTATAAAGAAGTGGGTTGGTTCAAGTGACATGAGCCATTTTAGCTCAACAGAAAATCATGTTCAACTTGATGGAATAAAATTTACTATATCCCAGTAATCAGTTAATAAAGACTTTAAATTTTCCTTTGGAATTATTTTCTTTACAACTTTTAAGAAGCCCATTTTAGTTTCTTTTCTCATGCAAATGCCATATTCAACTATGTACCAGATTAACAATATGTTGGCTCAAAAGTTTATCTTTCAGTGCTCTCAGACAATTTATTATATATCATTGTGGTTAGGCATACTTTGAATAACTCAACTAATTATTCCATGGGTTCATATGGCACAATTCTTTTACTCTCAGAAAAGGAAAACTATTTTAGCTAACTTTTGTTTCCTTTAATATAACAGATCTAGCCAGGCCTGGTGGTTCGTGCCTGTAATCCTAGCTACTCAAGAGGCTGAGATCTGAGGATTGTGGTCCAAAGCCAGCCCAAGCAATAAAGTCTGTGAGACTCTTATCTCCAATTAACCACCTGAAAACCAGAAGTGGTGCTGTAGTTCAAGTGGTAAAGCATTAGCCTGAACTGAAGAGCTCAGGAACAGGGCCCAGGCTGAGTTTAAGCCTCACAACCGACACCCACGAATACACACACACACACACACACACACACACACACACACAAAGATAACAGATCTGTTTCACATATCTAGCTCTTTGAAGTGAGTTTTAGTAAGTTATGCTTTCAACTAATTATTTAAAGATTTTTTAACCTGATATTTTCCCATTATTATTAGTTTATGATTTCCGGATCTTTGTCACTTTCAGCAGGAATAAAAACCACAAATTGTCTGGTGAGTTCTATTTCATTTTATTTTCTATTTATATCAAGAGGAATGATGTATGAATTCTGCCATGATGTAAAAAAGATTTTCTTTTAATTTTTAAGAGATCAAGGAGTTTGTGTGCTTTACTTAGAAGGATCTCTGTTTCCAAAATTGTAGGAAAGCAATAAGTTGATGATAGGGTTCCTCCTGTCCTGGGGCCAAATACTGTGCTCAGAGAAACTTTGTGCAGGTATGGAAAATTGTGTAGAAAAATACCAAGCAGAGTCAATGAAAAAAACCTTGATGCTTGAGACCCAGTCTGTGGCAATGACACTGAGCATTAGAATGCCATATGCTTACTGGTGAATTGATGACAAGGTGTATGAAATGAAAATAGGTGTTAATGAATGAGTTGTAATAAATTATCTATTACTTTTCAAACTTATGACACATCGTGTGAGTATATCTGTCCCAAAGCTGATTAAACAAAAGAAAAGCCAAGATGTCAATAAATATTGCACCAGCTAAAAATAAAATTTCTGTTTTTCGTGCATAAAAAGTGAACATGAAACTTGGTTTCATAATCACAATGGCCATTCCAAATCTACCTTCCAATCCCTAGTGACAGTTATTAAAAATATACCGATTGCTTCATCTCCACTAAATATCTCATGCTTCTTGAAATTTTATTTCTTATACAAAGCTTGCAAAACTTCGCCATGAGAAGAGAATTTGCAGAAAGGCATTCAGGATAGAGACAAATTATGCAAAAAGAGTTGCAGCACGCATTCATTGCAAGTAGAATTTAAAAAAAAACACTGAGTGTTCACATATCTGCAGTAGAGTGTGGTAAGAGATGGGCACAGATGTCCAACTACAGTGTCAAGGACTTTGAAATCTCTGCTAGGAGATCATGAGTCTAACCCTTATTCCATAAAAACCATCGGAAGGATTTAATCTTGGGAATGACAAAAATCACATTTTTGTTTGAGCAGGAGATTAGACTTGAAACTGTAAGAGACAAACCAGGGGTCTATTTAAATAAGATAGAGAGGATGAAATCTGTTAATAAAGCCAAAACCCAATAAATAAGCATCAGGAAATGATAAAGTGGGGCTGAGGGGAGAGGGGTAAATGAATGTAGAGGAGAAGTGGGGGAGAAGGAAATGCAATCAAGAATTCAATGTCTAGCCTAGAAAATTAAGAAAAGTAAGGGGAAGGGTGGCGTGGGATGGGTAAGAAGGTTGAAAGGGGTGTCCCTGATCAAGATGCATTGTATTCATTCACTGCCTTGTTAAATGGTAGCTTCTTTGTACAACTACTTAAAGAGAAGTTGCAATTTTAAAATAATCTTTAAAAGAAGATGAATAGAACGTCTTTAAAAGATCAATATACCTGAAGATGTTGCTGGGGTCATGGATTCTTTTACTCCTTTCTAGATCCAAAGCAGTCTGGTCATGAACATCATCAGCTCTGTGTTAGCTGCAGGAGGGATCTTTATCAACTTTTTCAGCCTCTTCATACAGTCAGCTGCTTACCATCAAAGGCATCCCCAAAATAAGTCCTTGGCCCGATTCATTTTCATGGTGAGTCTTCCTTCTTTCCATGGGAGGCTATAGAGGAGGCAAGCGAGTCGAGCATTAGCTGTGGGGAGTAACAACCCTGTACGTTTTTCTAACTGCTGGATCACTTGGAGAAGTTGGAAGAGATGGAGAAGTAGAACCACCTTTTTTCAAAGAAGACAGCTTCTTAGCATACATTAATTGTAGAAGGCAGTGTTCCTTAGAACCCTTCCACATATGCCTACTGATCAGTCTCTCGCCCATCACTGTCCCTCACCCACCCCCTGACCTTTCCTACAACAATCTTAATAGGTTTCATTGTTCTATTTTCACACATACATAATCAGTACATCAATTATGTTTGCCTTCATTTGTCCTTCCCATTTGCTCTTCCTCCTTATGCCCTTCCACACAAGAGTGTTTTACTTTCCCATCATCCATTGGGTTAATGTATAATAATCGTATCAGAGGGTTTCATAAAGGTATTTTGCAAATTATCTATCTGTCTACCATCTATCTATCTGTCTGTCTGTCTATCTATCTATTTACCTACCTATCTATCTAATGTGTGTGTCTCTCTAAGCTCTTTTGTAAAAGGCTAGCACGATAGCACTTGAACCACAGCTACACTTCCAGCTTTTTTGATAGTTTCTTCCAGATAAGAGTTTCAGACTTTCCAGCCTGTGCTGGCTTGAAACTGCAATCCTCAGATCTCACCCTCCCGAGTAGCCAGGATTATAGGGTGACTCACCAGTGTCTGGCTTTCAGTGAGATTCTTTATATTCTTTATATTTTCCCATGCCAACATAATGTATTTTGATATTATGTACCATCCTTTAGCCTCTCTCCTTCTCTCCCAAACAATCCACAGTGGAAATCATATAGAAAACCATCATTTATGACTCAGGAGCACATTCCATTTCTCTTTGTTCTTCTATGATGAGAAGTTAATAGCCAGAGAACACTTACTCTTTAGTAGTTATTATATCATATTTTCTGTTCTATTTTTAAACATTCATTGGCAAATTAATCATTCCCTTCAAGGTTTTAAGTAATTTTTAGAGAAATCGATTTTAATTTTGCCAGTCATTTTGATAGTTAATTGGAAATGAGAGTCTCATGGATTGTCCTGCCTGGCTTGGGTTAGAATTGCAGTCCTCAGAATGCAAATAAATAATATTAGCATACTTCCAAGGTCACATGGAATTAGTGTGACCTTTCTTGCTTCTAACCCCTTTTCTACTTAGGATTTTTTTTCCATGCAGTTATCCTGAATAAGAGACTTGCTTTCTGTTTCTGAAAATCTGTTCACTTATGGACTTTAAGAGTGTGATGATATGGTTGATACTTGAATTAGTCAGTGTCAAATAGCCTTCATAGACCTGGGTTCTTTGATCTTTATAATTATAGGGGCCCTGTCCTGCTATGTCAGTTGTGAAAATATCAGCAGTAACTTTAAATATGAAAGCTTATAAATGATCTATATGGACCTCCACTCAATCACCCTCTGCCCCAAACCTTCATAGATGAAGACCTTCCTTCAAGGACATCTTAAGCCTTTTTTTTGTTTTTGTTTTTGTTGGTCTTGAGGTCTGAACTCTGGGCCTGGGCACTGTCCCTCAGCTCGTCAGCTGAAGGCTAGCACTCTACCACTTGAGCCACAGCATTGCTTCGGGTTTTCTGGTAGTTAATTGGGCATAAGAGTCTCACAGACTTTCCTGCCTGGGCTGCCTTTGAACTGCGATTCTCAGATCTCAGCCTCCTGAGTAGCCAGGATGACAGGTGTGAGCCGCCAGTGCCCGGCGACATCCTAAGTTTTAAAGTATCAGTCTCTTGAATCAGTACATACAGGAGCCCAATTTTATGTAAAAATCTTAGGGTTGGCATTCTAGGAGACATCAGAAAGGAGAACAACTCCCTGACCTCAAGAAGCTCCTGTCCTCTTTGGACACATATATATTACAAGAATACAATAATTAGAAGAGGTTGGAAAGGTGAGCTCTTTATAGCAAAGAGCAAGCAGCCAGTAGAGATCATAAAACTTGGACTCATTGGGCTGAACCATAAGAAATTCTAATAATCAGATATAATTGATTCAGAAAGTTTTATGTGGCTTAAACTAATATGTTCTGTATGCTTCTACCTGTGAGATATTCTTATATAGATGTATGTTATTTTGTCAGAAGTAGAGTCTGTGCTCATTTTTATAAACACAGTTACATACTGGGTGAGGTTGTTTTCATATTATTGGGGCAGCAGAGTTGAATATTTGAATCAGAAGCTATATGACCTACAAACCTCTATGACCGACAAATACATACTATCTGGTCACTTGCGGTAACTTTGCTAACTCCTGGTCTGTCCTTTTAAACAGTCAGCTTGTGGACACTAGGAAAATTGTCTGTTCTGTTTGCTGAATTATATCTGCGCATCAAGGATACCTAAAATATAGATACTACTGAGTCTGTAGGAATATACGTATACAAAGAAATGAAGAGTATATATTTCTCAGGGTCCACTGGCTCTGTTTCACTTATGTGCTGGGCTTTTGATCTGCTGACTTCCACAGAAGAGAGACTGTCTTTATCCAAGGAGAGAAAAAATATACACACTATATAAATCAAGGAATCTCTGGCATCAATTCAGATAAGAATTTTAGGAATAGTTGTGCTGCTCCTATTTCTCAAATGTGATATAGCTAAATTCAACTTTCCTTTGGGTTGAATTAAAGATCAACTAAGTTGATATTTGATGTTGCAGCACCTTTTTATGTTTGCTATTTAAAATGCCACTCATTTAGTAGAGAATTAAAATTTATTTTCTTTTTCTTTTTTTGGGGGGGTCCGGTCGTGGGGCCTGAACTCTGGGCCTGGGTGCTGTCCCTCAGCTCTTCAGCTCAAGGCTAGCGCTCTACTACTTGAGCCACTGCGCCACTTCTGGATTTTTTTGTTTTTGCTTATGTGGTGCTGAGGAATTGAACCCAGGGCCTCAGGCATGCAAGGCAAGCGCTCTACCACTGAGCCACCTTCCCAGCCCTTAAAATTTATTTTCTTTGAGCTTGGACAGCCAGCATTCAAAATGATTCTCACTTGGCTAAAATAAAAACAAATGTTGATATCATTTTCCTGTCTTAGTATTCCAGAAGGAATATAGAAATCAATTTCTTTTTGCTTTATCTAATTTCTAGCAGGTGCCTTAATCCCTTAATTTATCACACTCTTATCTTCAAATTGAATATTGTGGAATCATCCATTTGACTCTTCTGCATTCTGCTCTCACTTTTCTAGAAGGTCTCAATGACTTCAGAGCAACCTGATCACTCACACAACATTAATACACAACATTAACTCATCAGCAAGCTGTTCTCCCTTTACTAAGCAACTGGAGATATATGTGTTTGTATATGTGTGTATGTGTATATATGCACATACAGACATACACGCATGCATATACACATTATGCATACATGCCTACACACATATATGGTACACATCTGTGTACAATAACTAAAATATAGGATTGCATTATTGGGTCAACCACTGAAATTTCTAGTGCTCAGAAGGCATATAGTAACCATTATCTAGGCAGCCCCCCATGGTTCCACTTCTACTTTTTTCATGCAAAATGCTATTTATTATGTATTACCTAAAATTAAATTAAAAATTAAAATTTATCTCTAAATTTTACCTAAAATTAAATTAATAAATTAAAATTTATCTCTCTCCTCCCCCTTATCCCACAGACAGTCTCTCGATTGGTCATATATATGTGTACATGTATGTTTATATGTATGTATGTGTGCCTATCGATACTTTTTCTATTTTATACACATATGACCCTGAACCTGCCTGTGAGAGGAAGTATGCATTCTTGGTCCTCTGATCAGGACTTATTTCACCTACCATAATGATTCCTAGCTCTTTTCATTTCCCTGCAAATGCCATACTTTTAAAAGCACGTCCCAATTCTATTTCAGTAATAACAGTAAATACTAGAGGACTGGGTGCGGGAGAGCTATGATGATTTTTACCAGTGACAAATGAAGCTCAAGAAGTGACATTCTGTAGGCCGAGAATTGGCCAAGATTAGGCTGTATTTGAAGCATGGTTTCCAGCCTCCTAGCCAAGGTGCTTTCTCTTTTAGCATGATACTTAGTAGTAAATGTTTGGAACTTGTGATTTTGGGTTTCTCACATTCCTGTGTTATAAATTTGTTTTTAGAGCATGGATGGTATTCTACTTCTTTTCAGCATGCTGGAATTCTGCATTTCTGTGTCCAATTCAGCATTTGGATGTAAAGTCGCATGTTGTAGCTCTAGTGAGGTGAGTATTGACCTTCACTTGAATAGATCGCCAGCAGGTTTGGGGGTTTTTTGGTGGCATGTAATCAAGTACAAGAATGTTGGAGTCTTTTTTTTGTTGTTGTTGGGGGTCCGGTCGTGGGGCCCGAACTCTGGGCCTGGCCGCTGTCCCTCAGCTCTTCAGCTCAAGCTAGCGCTCTACCACTTGAGCCACTGCGCCACTTCCGGCTTTTTTCTTTTTGCTTATGTGGTGCTGAGGAATTGAACCCAGGGCCTCAGGCATGCAAGGCAAGCGCTCTACTACTGAGCCACCTTCCCAGCCCGAATGTTGGAGTCTTAACACAAGACCTCTTTATTACCTCTGAGATTCCTCAGTCAGGATTATTCTCAGCACAGCCTGTCTGTGCTTGAGACCTTACAGGGTTGTACTCTCAGAGCTGGTTGGGGTCTGTGCTCATCAGTAGCTGCTTTCTTCTCATTGCTCATGGTACTGAGTGGATTGACTCTCAGGTGCAGAACTCATAGCAGTGTACTTCTCTGGAAACAGAAGACCAATGGCGCTAAGTTTTTCAAAGCTCGTTGGAAGGATTCACATAATAGGTCCCATTCACACAGAATAACATCCCCTTTGATTTATTCAGAATCAGCGGATCAATCACCTCACAGGAGCCCTTCCCATGTGATCCTGCAGTCCCACAATACTGTGTTATCTTGGGATGGTAACTTGGAATTACCCTCCCAAAGCCTAAAGAGAATGGGCCTTCCCCATTCTTCTTTCAGAAGGCTTCCCCTCTGAGAGCACTCTGCAGTGCAGTGGGCTCCAGAGAATGACATTTTTTTTTCTCCACTATTCCATTATTGCAACCTACTTTGGTTTACAGAGAAATGTCATGGATTAAGCTTCTCTGTGAGTTCTTGTCCACCTGGCCCCAGCAGATCTTTCCAGTTGCTATTTATAAAAGTCACCAAAGAGGGGGAAGTGGGAAAGAATGAGAAAAGTGAGCAAATATGAGGTTCTGTGAAGAAGATGGCAGGTGTGAAGATGGCAGATGTGTTTTCCCTGTGTTGAGGGTTCCAGAGAGAAGTGGCCAGTGAATCCCCAAACAGCTGCACTTTAGCATCATTGAAACAAACACCCTGAAGCACGTGTACACACACACACACACACACACAGACACACACATACATACACACCCTAGAGTCAAACAATAAAATGGAATCCCAGGGTGAGGTTGTTGTGTGGTCATTTATGCCCTGTGGTGCCTCTTTAATGTCTTCCACTTCTTCCAGAAAAAAAAATCACAGCCCATGTTCCACAAGCCCAGCCCATCAAGCAGCATTGAATGAATCCTATTCACAGTTAGGAGACCTTAGAGGCGGGAGTTTCTCTGAAATTATCCAAGTGTTTTGACTTCATTGAATGAAACACAAAATTAGTGAAGCATTCTGGTTTGAGAGTCCATATTCCTAATCTGAAACCTCATATCTCAGTCTCTGAGCATCTGCTTGAGAGTAGTTATGGACTGAGAATTTACTTCCGCTACTCTTATATGCCACCCTAAGAGAGCAGAGGTTTGAGCTGTGGCACACAACTCTCTTTGGTTCTATTTCTGTCCTCTTGCCGACTCCATGTTACATGTTCCTTATTTTCCTGACAAATCTTGCTATTCTAGAACAGTGTGGTATTTACAGGGCTTTAGGTGTAGATCGCACATGATGACTTGGAATCAGCTGCTGTCATCAGCGACGCAAAGGTTTGGAAGAACAAACCTATATTTTCTATGCGACCTTGATTTGCCCATGGAATCACTGGGTGCCATCATCATCCACAAGGAAGATTGATTCACTCGAAGACTTGGCAACCACCAAGGGGCACCTCAGGACAAGATCTCTCACCAGTTGTGTGGCCTAGGCCTAGGCTGTTCTAAGGAATCAAAGCCTGATAAAACGACCTGACTGATCTTAAGATTCAACTCACAGATGAAAGTTTGCACGTGGATAGTGATGAAGTTCTGTGGGTAGGAGACGGATGTGCTGAGGGTATTTGAGTAACTCAACGACTTTCTAATTGACTTCACAGGTTGTGCTAGTTATGCCACCAGAATCTAAGAAGGCAGGAACGGCTTCTCCTGCGCTTCTTGAACAAGGTGTGATGCCACCAACAGGTCTATATAACAATGTGCCAGAAAATTATTACTGACGTCACTGCAGGAAATACACATCAGAAGCCCTGGAATCCAGCTCTAATTTGTACGTGTGTGTGTGTGTGTGTCTGCATAAATTTGGAATCATGCTCTCCTATTTTTTTCTCCAGGAACTTGACAATTCACTGCATTAGCTCCTTATTAGAATAACAACAGTTTTAGAAATTATGAGCCGTCATCCGTATGGATTTGCACTCATAATTTCTCTGTCTTTCTCACTTCCCCTCTTCCCTTCCAGTGTTTCTCGCTGCACCATATTATCCCTTAATCAAATTTATGTGCTATTTATATTATGCAAAACATGGCATTAACTCAAAATTTATGTCTCATATGCTTGCTTTAGAACATTAATTGATACATTTTGGAGGCTTTCTGGGCAATTAACCTTGGATTTTCATGTTGTAAAACCCAATATCTCTCCTCTCAGACTATGAGAAATAAATTTCTGACAAATTATCCAGTCTCAGGTAATTTCTTGTAGTAGCACAAACAGACTGAGACAACAGACAACTGATGTTTTAAAAAATAAGTATGCTAGTAGGCTACACTGAGGTGGAAGGACAATCTCTTCAATAAATGGCACAGGGAAAAATAAATTTATGCATGCAAAGTTGAGCACTTGCCTTACATCACACACGCAAAAAATCAACTTAACATGGATAAAAGACATAAACATAGATCCTGAGATATAAAGCTTGCAGCTGGGCGCTGGTGATGCATGCCTGTAATCCTCAATACTCAGGAGGCTGAGATCTGAGGATCAAAGTTTGGAGCCAGCCTGGGTAGAAAAAGTCCCCATGAAACTCCTATCTCCAATTAACCACTCAAAAAACTGGAAGTGGCACTGTGGTTCAAGTGAGAGAACGCTATAATTGAGCACAAAGAGGCTCAGGGACCAGTGTCCAGGCCCTGAGTTCGAGCCCCACAACTGACATAAACACATTTTTAAAAATAAAAATAAATAAAAAAACTTGCAGAAGAAAAAACAGGGGAAAAGGTCTTTATTTGGGTAATATTTTTCTCTTGAAAATCACATCTAAAAGGCTCAGGCCACAAAAAGAAAATGAATTAGCTAACTAAACAGGATTATATCAAACTAAAAGTGTTCTGTACATCAAAGGCAAATATATTAACATAAGGAAAAGCAAATGTGTGGGATGGGGAAAATGATTTGAAAAGGCATACATATAGGATAAGGGTTAATATCCAAAATTTATAATTAAACACATATAGATTAATCATAGAAAATATGAGCAAGGTTTTAAAAAATGAGCAAACAGCTTTCTGCATTCACTTAAATACCCAATTCTTAAGTCCATAGTAGTTGATCAAACAGAAAATCCAGTGCTCTGTATCTTGTATATGCATTTTTCTAATTTGGGGAGGGGAAAGGAACTGAAACAAGGACACAGGTTGACGCACTGTAACAATGAGACATACAAAACACCACGTTGAAAAGAACTTTACAACTTGGTGGGGGAAGGAGGAGTTGGGGGAGTAGGAAGGGAAGGGATAGTAGGGGGGGAAAGGAGGGAATAGGAAACATTTCCTATTGAGCATTGTTACCTTACTCATGTAACTGTAACCCCTCTGTACAGTGTCTTTGCAATAAAAATATTTTTTAAAAAAGAAAAAAATGAGCAAAGAACATGAATAGACATTTCTCAAAATAAGATACACAAATTTCTGACAAGTGCATGAAAAATGTCACAAGTTATCAGAGAAATTTCAAGTAAAAACATAGAATACTATGGTGGTAAAGACACATATAACATCTGGCCATTGTGTGAAAAAAAGTGACTATTATGTTCTCAAGCAAGTTTGCACGGAATAGTTTTGGCCTCTGCTCAATTTGCCAATATATTTCCTACTCTCAGTCTACATTTATTAAATATCCATCCAATCTTTCAAGTTAAAAGTGAATGACAAAATCTTTCCTGTAGTAAAGTCTTAATTGAGCCTAATTATAGGTCAATATTTATTATTTATATGGGAATTAGCTTGCTCTTATGTCATGTTCATCTAACATGGTTTAAAGCATTTACACAACATCTCTAGAGAACTCAGATAATAAGTCAAGATATGATTTTTCAGAGAGTTATGACCTGTCAAAACTGCTGTTTCTTTATTAACTGACCTACATTATAATTTGAACAGAGGTGTTTCTAGATAGTTCTCAGATATAGGTTATTAAAGGAAAAAATAGATGTGATTCATAAATAGAAAGCAATTGACCTGACACTATTACTTAGATATATAAAATAATTGTAATCCCTCTGTACATCACCTTAAAAATAACAAAGTAATTTTTTAATTCAGGTTTTCTTCATTGTAAGCAATTACTGTGCTACTAAGCTATGTCTCCAAGAATAAGTATTAAAATTTCATGCAAAGAGAAGTCTGGCACATTGTTTTTAACTTGATTCATAGAACAAATATATTCATTGGTAAACTTTTGTAAAGTGGAAAATTGCAACTTTCCAATGTTAACAGAGTAAATTGTAGTCTACTTTGCAAAATACAAGTGTTTGTCTAAGCAACATATATCACCTTCAGATTTTATGCTTTCATTCATGAATTAATTTTGAAATACTAACCGTGACATAATAAAATTATTGCTAGAGCATAAATATACTTCAAGGATATATCCAAATGAACTTGATAAATCAAGTTTCATTTAAAAAAAATAAGGTGTTTTATCCTGGCTGGAATCACTCAAATAAAATCCTATAAATAATGCAATAAAGCATAGCTAGAAACGTGTTTCTAGCTGTTAGTGTTTCCTATTCACAGTGAGCTTGGGCATGTGTCCTAATTCTCAGTACTAGCTTAATTCCTTTTCTTTCTTTCTGTCTCACTTCCCTCTTCCTCTCTGTTATGGGAAGAAACTACCCATTTATGCTCAAGAAGTTTCCATCTGTTTTATAAAAAAGCTTATGCTGAACTCTAGCCCTCCCTTCTTGAAATCAGCTGAATGTTGAAGTTGGAGTTTTAACCACAGACTTCCTGTTTCCAAAGGGTAATGTAGCCACTAACATTTCGAGCAAGGATAAAATTATTGCAAAATAAAATGTGTTTTATCTTCTATAGTGGTAGAGCGAGCGCTCTGCCACTTGAGCTACAGCGCCACTTCTGGTTTTCTCATGGTTTATTGGAGATCAGAGTTTCATGGTCTTTCCTGCCCAGGCTGGCTTTGAACTGCGATCCTCAGATCTCAACCTCCTGAGTAGCTAGGATTACAGGTGTGAGCCACCAGGCGTGGCTACATAAATATTTATCTTTTTTTTGGGGGGGGTCCAGCCATGGGGCCTGAACTCTGGGCCTGGGCACTGTTCCTCAGCTCTTCAGCTCAAGGCTAGCGCTCTACCACTGAGCCACCTTCCCAGCCCTCAATATTTATCTTTACAGTTACTTTATAGTTTGTATTTCTTTCATATTTGTAATTTTACATTTAATTATATATTTACTCTGCATTGTTACTTATATGCTTATATTTATCATTCATACTTATACATATTTGTATTTATTATATTTATTATTATAGCTTACATTAATTATATTATGAAATGTTATTATTCACCAGTGTTACTTCACTGACAATATTATTAGTAGAGCGCTTCTAAAAGACCTTTCTGAAACATGTTCTCGCCTCTTCACAACAATTCTTGCTGTTGTTCTGTATTTAACTTATAGAAACATAAGTTTGGCTAATGGCAGGAAGCTAGCATGTGTTAGTGGGGTAATTCACTTGTGTAAAACTCCATGATTCCCCTCACTCTCTGAGCATTCGTTATTGTTGGGGTTTTTTTTTTCAGTGATTTTTTTTTCTGAAGTTACTAAAGGTTTAGAAAAAAAAGGAAGTGTGGGCACATTTCTCAAATGCATGGGTCTGTTAAGCCTCACATCCTGTGCCTCAGCAACCCAGAACAAAGGAAGGACTGGCCACATTCAGAAGACCGCAAGTAAAACCTGCTCATCAGACTTGGAGAAGACAGAGTTACAGCCTGCGGCAGGGGCTTCTGGGAGCTCCGCAGGGACCGGCTGGAAGGTCCACAGTCCAGGTAGGCAATGTAGAACACCTTTCTCTGCTCACCTGTCCTTCTGAGATGAGGAGGTAGGGGATTCTTCCCAAGCGCCTTCAATGCGATGAACACCCTAGCATTTCAGAATTCGAATGGGCAAAAGCAAGTAACATCTGATTACGACTATTCTGCTATTTTCTCCTTTCTTACTTATTTTGGATTTGGCATACATGTGTTGCATGAGGAGGTTTTATTGTGATATTTCCATACATCATGCACACAGTGTACTTTGAACAACTTCATCCCTTCCACCATATTTGTATTCCCTCCTTCCCTCTTCCCATATATGATTTGATAGATGCCATGTGCCATCTTCATATATATACATATATTTACATACATCCATGTATAGAGAGACAAATACATGTACCTACAAAGATACATATACGTATATACATACATGTAATTTCCTCTTTTGATCCCACCATTTACAAAGTAGTACATAATCTTGGTGAATTCCTTTGCTATGGCTCTGGGACAAATGGGAACACAGCTCTTATCTCTTTAAATTCTCTCTGGCCGTTTGGCAACTGGACAGACCATGAGCTGAGAAATGAGAACCACACTGAGCTCAGCAACTGATTCCTTGGGCAACTTAGTTCTTATGGCTCAAAAGTAGAGTCCTCAAACCTAGGGTCATGACTCTTAGACTTCTCATGTTACCATATGCAGCTGTTTCTCCAGACTGGCTAGACCCAGATTCAGGCTGATGCTGGCAGGCAAGAAAGCAATAAAAAACAAAATTAACTTTTCTAGAGAATTGTGCAAGGGCTCCAGATTCTACCTGGAGTCCGGAACCCAAGAGAGTGGTCATGGCTGACCAGGGATCACAACTTGAACTGTTTCTTCAGTCTTTTACAAAGTGGATGCCATTTCTATTTGCTTCTGAATTTCCTTAAAACGAAGATACATTTTACTAACTAATTTGTTAACGTTGAGGATTGACACAAGGCTTAAAAGTACCAGAATGAAAGGTGAGAAAAGTCTCTGGGATTAATGAACATAAGTGTTACCATTAGACAAAAAAAAAAAAAAATCCTGTGCAGATTACGTGAGTAGTACCGAAGTTGGAAAGGAGAAGAAGGAAGGTTGAATTTTCATCCTCTCTCCTTAGAGCAATGCACTGCTGTCAGGATAAATGGGAGAAAGAGAGATGGCTACACATTCCAAATTCTGCAGCGTCCTTTGCCAATAAACATTGGGGATCTCGTGAGATGCATGGCAGGGCCTTCCTTTGAGGGGTTCATTATCTATAGTCAGTAGACTATGTCAAACCTGGAGAAATCAGCATAAAAGTGTATCTTTGTGGTTCTTACCTCTCAGTACTCAGAACTGAATTTCCTCTCTTTTGGCATGGGCAGCACCATCATGATTCCACAAGTGGTGACCAGAGAGACTGTTACAGTGATCAGATCCAATGGAACCAATGTTGCCGAACTAGGGCAGCCTCAACCCACCTACCAGATGGACTATAGCCTGAAGAAACACCTCAGGGCAGAAATCAAAGTTGTTGCGGTAAATCCAATTCAGAACACGTTGGGATGGGATGAAGGGCAGGGGAGAGAATGTCTATGTCTTATGTGATCTCTTGTGGGTGTGGAGGCCCTTTGGTTTTGCTAGAAGGACAAACTGCTCTTCAGGCCAGTGGAATACACTCAGGAGGGCTGTTTAAATCTTCTGCAGGACTTTGTTCCACAAATGAAAAAATGTTTATGTCCCCCTTATTCTGAATTTGAGTGATTAAGTTTTGATTGTTTTATTATTTGGGGAGGAGGGGCTTTTTTGTACAATATACTGCTTTATATTTTCTCTTATGAAATTAATGATAAAGAATTACATCCTGTTCACCTCTTGCATGGCAGTCATCTGTGTTGATTTTTCAAAGAAAAAGACTTCCTTTATTGTAAATGATAGGAAAATGTAAACCTTTGTCTTCTTCTCTCCTTTTTTGGGGGAAAGTACTGGGGATATTTACCTTTGGTTGATCTCAGTCTTCTCAGACAGAGTTTATTAAAGAAGCTCTATTGGATCCAAGCCAAGATTGATTGGCTCAAGGTCTAGGAGGAAAACATTTCTCAAAACTCCTGGCTTTGAGAGCCATCACCTGCTAGGCTCTGGTGGCACAAGCTTGAAAAAAATTGCTTGATATATGTCAAAAGAACCGTGCCTCTGAGCTGCAAGTGGGTGTGAAAACCTTCCCACCTGAGGGTCCTCAGGAAAGGGGCATGCGTGGAAGAGCCCATGGATCCCGAACAGGAACCAAGGTGCCATGTTATATATAGGACAAGAGAGGTATGGGAAATGGCTTCCATATCTCCTGTGCTGATGAGATCATGATAATTTTCGGATGTCCCTTGTTTCCATAAAAGGTAGAAATGAGGTTTTCAAGAGAGCCCGGCATTGGCATGAACTGAGGTACACTGGACATGAACAGCCCAGGGCTTGAGAGGCAGAAAGGTCTGAAGGTTTGTTAAGAACTCACCTGGCAGCCTCACGCAGTGGTTTTCTGTGGCGGAACAGCCTTGCCTTCAGAGCGAAGGCTCACTTTTCTTACTTTTGGCAGTTTTTGGCATGTCTGTGGTCTCACCAGAATCTTCTAGAAGGTGATAACCTATCAACTTCTGGGAGAGGTGGAGAGGCAATGTCTTCACACCTAATGGTTTTAACTTTCACCCTCTTCCTCTCCCAACAGGCGATCCAGATCCTGTGTGGAGTGATGGTGTTTAGTTTGGGAATCATTTTGGCATGTTCTCCCTCCTCCCCATATTTTACCCCAATGTTTACTTCCCTGATAAAATCAGCCTACCCATTCGTCGGATCCATGTGTGTAAGTAGAATTCTGCCAGACTGGGAGATGAGGATCCGGAGGAAGAAAGGAGCGATACTATAGATTCTTCTGCTCCGTGGCAGCATTTCTGTTTGGGGCTTTGGTAGGGCTTGCAGCCTATGAGTTCTCAGGGGAAGGAAGTACACAGGAGGATAGGGAGAACATGGTTTTAGGTATGTTCCTCAGCTGACTTAATAACCATTCCCTTTGGACATAATCTTATTTCTTTTCCCCTCTTATCTTGAGATAGGATGATCTTAGAGGCTTCATTCTGGGCTCAGCCAAATACTCATGAAGTAGGACTCAGGAGAGGAACTTTCTGATACCAAAGTCAGACAAGGATTCTACCAGAAAACTACAAGCCAACATCCTAAGAACACAGACGTAACACTCTTTAGCAGAACACCAGCCTCAGAGCTCAACAACACACCAGACACATCATTCAATAAGATCAAGTGGAATTTATCTCAGGGATAAAGGCATATGTAAATATGCCTTAATGTATCAGTAGATACATTATATTAAAGGAAGGCTGCATATTATACCAACATCTCCCATTCTTTTCTCTTCCTAGATCTCGTTACCTTCTTCCCTAAAGACTATCTGACTCCAAAATTTCTTCCCTCATTCACAGAAATCTACTTACCGGCTTCTTTTAAGATCTCCATTTTGTGTATTGAAGCCTATATCTGCTCAGCTGTGACATTTCTCTTGCTTTCTGAATGCTACTTTGGAGAAAGGGGGCAAATGTATGAACTTAAACAAGACCTTACATCATGGATCATTTGTTCTGTTGGGGGGGAGGTTGTTGTTGTTTTTATAAATATAATGATGGGAACATTGTAGCTATCTTGTACAAGAAATGGTCTTGACAATATTTCCTTTCTTTGCTGGGTAGTTCATCGCTTCTGGATGTCTATCAATCACCACAGATAAGATGTCAAGTAAACATTTGGTAAGTATAAGAGCCATAGCCCTCTAGCTGGGAGTCAAAATGAAATAAGATTCATTAGGGTCAGGGTCTCCATTGAAAAGCTGGAATCTAAACTGCAGAGCAACTAGTTGGAGTACTTCAAAAATGACTTGGGACCCTTCACAACCCTGCCCAGATGGGGGAAATTGTGGGCTGCAAATCAAAGTCTGTGTTTAGGGTATTGTGACATACCATGGACCAGTGCAAAAAAAAAATCCTTCTTACTTATGGTGATATTTAGCAGGTAATAGACTTTCAAATTTAGCTCTGCACTGATGCACAGGCTCATAATATTTTTAAAAGTTGTATTTGTTGTAGGTACAATGTCAAAAACTCCTTCAGCAAACCAAGATGAGGTTCTTTCTGTGATTTTGAAAGTCTTACATAGTCCATGGACCAGAGGTTCACTCCCGCTAAATGGCTGTTGGGTGTGCCCTGGGATATACTTTTCTATAGACATGGTTTTTAGCATCTTCGTAAGCGTAGCTCTCCTCTCCTGTGAGCTGGAGAAGAGAAACTGTTTTTTCTTTATTTCATTATCTCTAAGTAGTTGTAAAAAGGAGGTGTCTTTTAAGTTTATGGATATGATGAATCTGTGTCTCCCCCTACAACAATCTCATCCCCCTTCAACCTACTCCTTCCCTTACTTTTTTTAGTTTTGTGGTATATGCAATGAATTCTTGACTGCATTCTTTCCCCCTTCCCCACATTATCTAAATCCATTCGTCCATCGGGGCTGATTGCGTATTTTGTTTCTAGCGAATAGTGCTGCAGTTGAAACTGCAAACTATTGAGATCTATTTATGCCCCTCCCTGTCGAAATACGGAAATAAGACCTAAAGCTGGGAAATGAAACTGAAGAACTTAGCACTCAAGGAAACAGAGAGCTGGCACAACTCTTAACTTCCTGATCTCACTTTCCCGAGATCATTCAAGTCCTGGCCTCTAATTATACCATCTTTGCATCTGTATCTCCCATACAGATGGCCCTGGACATAGCCAGTGATTTGCCAGTCTACATTGCAGGGCCTTCCTGAGTCAGAGAACCATGCCCACTTTCATCTATGGGTGGATATGATTTTGTGAGAAGCAGCATATGAGGAAGAGTGAACTACTTTTCTTGCCTTGTCTGTAAATCTGAAACTCCCATAATGTGTGTGTATGGGGGGGGGGGCATTGGTCTTGTCTGTATTGTTCAGGGTTACATTACTGTAACAAATACCTGGGCTACATCAACATAAATAGAGGAAATGCTTATTTGGACCCACGTTTTGTTATCTTTGGTACATGGTTGGGTGTATCTGCTGCTTTGGGGCCTGTGGTGAAGCAGTGGTAACATGGTAGTAATCATGTGGGCCAACCCATTGGCTGCATAGTAGCAGGGAAGCAAAGAGAGAGTAAGAAGTCTTTGTCCCAATCATCCCTATCAAGGGCATTCTGATACTTACGGCCTCCCATCAGGTCTCTTGTCCTAAAGCTTTGACTGCCTGGCCCCAGCATTGACTTTAGGATTAAGACATGGGCTTAGTTCACTGGGGATATGTAACGTCTCAAACTACAGCACTGACCGAGGGAAATGGAGAAAATTAGGTTCTAGCCCCAAGGGGGATTTGTAGGCAAGACCTCATGGGACTCTGAGTCAGTCTCCAGGGTGAAGAACCTAGAAGGAGAATCTTGTCTGCCGCTTCTTTGAAGTTCTGTCTGTGGGGAGAGGCATTTCATGTAGGCATTTCTCCCACTCACAACCTGACCTAGGTTCTGTTTTTTTTTCTAGCTTATTAGAAATAAATCATGAATATGGAAGTAAATAATGAATCTAGACCTCTTAAGACAGACCAGCAAAAGTATTTTCCCAGCAAAGAGGTAGCTAGAGATGTTTGTAGCTCATGAGAAGGATCTGTACTCTGCATTTTTCTTTCAGGTTCACAGCAGCCTCGCCATAAACATTGGGAGCTCTCTGTTTGGTCTTATGGGTTTCATTCTCCTCTCTTACAACTTGAGTGACTTGGATTCTGCCTTACAGAAGTGTGAACAGAGCCCTCACCCAACTAGTTCTTATTCCTATTATCCTATAAGCAGAAACAATGCATGCTACATGGCCAAGACCAGTCTGGCTGTAAGTATTTCTATCCATTCTGTGAATTTCTTGAAGGCCATGTTTTCTTCAGAGTCTTTCTTTTAAAAATACTTCTAATCTCAGGCTGGGATGTAGCTCAGTGGCAAAGCGCTTGCACAGCAAGTGCAACGTCCTGGGTTCGATCCCCAGTACCAAAAAAGAAAAGACAAAAAAATACAGTTAAAAAAAAACAAACAAAATATACTTCTAATCTTTCATGTTGGGCATCTTTGGAGAACCAGGACTATAGAACAGAAAGGGAGCCACAAGCATGAAATTAAAAGGTTTACATACTAAAAGGAGAAAAGTGAAGAGTCAATTGCAAATAAAGTTGGTTTAAAAAAAACTAAGTTATTGCTAGTAGAGGGTCTTAGGAATCCAAAATATCCAATTTTCAAGGCATAAATTATGAGTTTTTCAACCTAAGGATCTTGATACATGGACTGGTGAATTAAGGTAGGCAAACACAGGCGCTGAGAATGTAGACCAGAGGGAGAATTTATGCACACTGCATGCGAATCTCTGGGTTCTTCGGTGTCCAGAGCTGAAGAAAGAGGGAGGGGGGGAGAGGACGTGATTTGATATCTAGATAAGCACTGAAAAATGGAGAACATGAGATATATGTTATATATATGTGTATATATATATATATATCACATACACACATATCACACAGTATTCAGGAACCCCAATTATATACAAAAACTTTGTTTTATCACAACCTATAGAGATAGAATTTGTTAAGTTAGGAGATAAGGAATATAGCTATATGGAGAATGGTAATGGAAATGTTTATAAGAAAATTCTATCTTATTGGAAGAAGGAAAGCAGTGAAAGTTGATGAAAAAAATACTACACCTTTTGACCATTAGGTTTTAGTTTTTATATATACGATCATAGGTAAGTAGTACCAGGAGGTTCCATTTGGACACATCTAGGACATATGTTCACTGTATCTTGATCATGATCCTTTACCAGGGTCATTCCCTCTGTCATTCTCCCTCTTCAGCTCACCCTGCAACCAATCTCTGTAAGCTTCATTGATCCACTATCACACTTGACCACATTGTGTTTCTCCATCCCATTAAATTAGTACCTGGAGGGGCTTGTGTATGTTGTGCTACATAAGAATAGAGAGGCCGCAAATTATTTATCTTCTACCATCTTGAGAGTCAGAGAAATTAAAGACAGCGGGAAGGTGGTTGAAGAGGGAGGTTGCTGGTTTTTTCCCCTCATCTCCATTACTTGTAGAGCTGGCCTTAGGCCATTATCCTTCAGTTCACAAAAGCATCATGAGGAAAAAAATGTGTGAAACTAAGGCTGAGGGTTGCTGGTATAAATTAATATCTGACTTCACTACATCTGGTGTGGGGAAAGAGGAGGAAAAATTTGTGTAGTAGATCAACTAGGAATGCATAATGGAATGGTTGAATTTGTATGTCAGAGAACCAAGTTGGCTGGGATAATGTCTTAGTAATGTAGGGGAATTTTCTCTCCTCTTTAAGTGAACTAGAGATGGATATAAGCACCATATCTCTATTTTCTGTCAAGTGGCCTATTACCCAGGATAGAAATGGTATTACCCAAGCTGTATGGAGACTTGCTTGAGTTGATTTGGAGTGTTAGAAACTACCATTTTGATATTTTTCTACCTACCTCTTACATCCACTTTAAAAAAGGCCAAAGAAACACCCTAAGTATTTCATTTCCATATGTCTACCATATACATTTTCAGATATATATAGATATATGTCAGCTCATTGATCCTCACAAATCTCTGAGAAGGAAATATTATTTTGCACAGTTTATAGATGGGTAAGTCCATAGAAGCTAGGGACACAGAGACTCTAGTCTAGGCCCACACTGAGCAGTACAGTTGAGGTTAGAATGGGAAACTGTTCACCCTCAATCCTGAAAGTGAGCCTAGCATTCAGCTCCTTTACTGACTGAATAATGCAACCAAGGTTGCCTTTCTCTGAGGAGTAAGAGGAAATGTCTTTGTTGATTTAGCTACTCCTCCTCCTCACTCTCCTCTCAATGGAATTAAATAAAGAGATTGCTTTTGATTGGTCGCTAGACTTGTGCACATCTCAGTTTCCTTCCTCGTGAAGTCTCTACTCTCTGATGATGGAGGCGATCTGTCTCCTCAATCCCCTCCCAGCCAGGCATGAAGACTCAGATGACTCAGTAACTCCCATTGCCTCATCTCCTTGACTTCAGGGTACCCTGGGTTTGATGCTAGTCTGTACGCTGGTGGAGCTGGGCCTGGCTGTCCTGTCTGCTGTGCTGTGGTGGAAGCAGTCTAAGGATAATTTCCCTGAGGTGAGTATACTTCTGGCCTCCCCGAATCTTTCCTGGTACTTCTTTGAGGATGTGTTGAGTTTGGATACCAAGAAAGAGGGATAGAAGGAACAATGTGTCGGCCTGGTAGGTCCAAGGGAGGTGGCTTTGATGGCGAGGCAGGGAGGCAAGGACAGATGACCAGCGAATGCTTGGGAGCATGTGTCGATTGTTGAACTTGAGAAACCATCTGGTCCCTTCCTTCCATGTTGCAAATGAAGAAACAGGCACCAGGAGATTAAGCATCTATCCTGGCATTATGCTGTGAGCTTGTTCCTTTGTTTGGAACACAAGAACCTGCTGGCTTCCGCTTAAGTAGAAGGACTCCCTGGCATGGCGACTGGTGTCATGAGCAGTTCTTGACCCGGTAGAAGGGCATTTGCACATGTGACTGTGTTCACTCATCCGCTTATGCTCTTCTTTCCCTTCCTTTTGACCTTAAATTTCCTTTGTGTCCCCCGAAGTTATTAAAGAACTCACCTCTGTGAGCTCGTGGCTTCATTGAATGGAATTAAAAAGCCTTGCTTTACTTGAAATTTTAATTGTAGAGAGCAGAAAAAAAGACCAGATGTTCAACATCAGTTATTCAGGGAGCTTAATGCTGCATTATACTCATCTTGGAGACAGCTAGGGAATCCATGTTAGATAAAAAAGGAAGGAAATTTTCTGTCTATACCTATATATAGATATACATATATACATATAAATGTATCTATATACATATATATATATATATACATATATATACTCAGTGGATCTAAGTGAAGTCTGAAACCAAATTTATTTTCTTTGTTTTAGAGTGTGCATTTTGTGTCCCAGAGTGTGTACGATAAACTCAACTTCTCCAACCAGGAGTCATCTCAACCTGCATACCAGGAACTACTGAGGAATTAAGAACAAAAAAAGGGGAAAATATTGAGCAGAACATTCATGTAGACTGTCTAACCACCATGAAAGCAATTCTTGACTTCTGTAAAATGTAGGTCATTTGTATAGTGAATATTAAAAAAATGGTTGAATGTATATATTCAGTGATATTCCCTCCAGCCCAGGCAGCTGAGCTGGCTTCTGTGGCTGGAAGCCAAGAGCCCAGCTGGATATGGCCTCCACCCACTGAACCACAGGCATGTGTGGCCTCTGCTAGGAAGAGGTGATTGCTCTGGCCTGCCCCGTCTCTGGCCTTGGGATGTGCTGGAGATGATCCTCAATTCCAGAATGGCCAGACTTAGGGGGTGAGGGTGTGGCTCAGGGGCAGCTCTTGCCTAGCATGCAGGAGGCCTCAGGGTGCATCTCCAGCATCAATAAACCACAGCACAGAGCAGAGCTGCTCCTAGCTTATCTCCCTACCCACCTGCCAAGCCCCTCAGACAGGCCTGGGTACTGGGTACTGGTTGGTGTTTTGTTACCAAATTCTTCCTACACCCTTTCTTACTTACCTTAATGGTAGGTTATATATTGGTATTTTGCAATTCAACAAAGCAGTTTATGTGTACAATGCGTCTTGATCTGTGTCACCACTTCAACATCTTCATCTCCACTTCGACCCACCCTTCCCTTATAGTTCTCAATTCTGTGGTCTCTACAATGAATTCTTGCTTGAATTCTCCTCACTTTTCTCCTTCATTCTTCTACTCTTCTCCCCATGATCCTACCCTCCCCTCTTGCAAGTACTTATTTTGTTGGGCTTTGACCTTTTTAAAGAAGTATACTATTTGCACTCTCCATAAAGTCTATTGCACTTTAGTTAATTCATTTGTAATTCCTTGCTTACCACCCAGTGCATTTATTGTAGATTTGTAGGCACATTCTAGCTCCCACAAATGAGGCACACCATGCAGCCTCTGTTTCTATGGGTCTGGCTCACTTTGCTTAATATCTTTTTTTCCAAGTCTTTCCATTTCTTTCCTACAAATGGTACAATGTCATTCTTTCTGATGGATGACTAGAATTCCATTGGATATATATATATATATATATATGCTATATTCTCATTCATCTGTTGAGAGGCATCTGGGCTGATTCTATATCTTGGCTATCATAAACACTAAAGCTACCAGCACAACCATGTTCATTGCAGGATTATCTATTATAAATATATTCTTAAGTGAAATTTTAATTAAATAAGTTTTATATTAAAAAATTATAAAACCTTTGGGACAGCAGTAGGATGGCATAAGAGAAAATCTGTTTCCAGAATAATATGTAAACCATAAAAGATGACATTTATGACCCAGTAATGAGTAAAGTGAGGTTGAGAGATATAAACTATTTAAGGTAAGCTGTTATTAGCTTAAAATTTGTTGTTCTTATAACTATGAGGTGTTTATAATCTCCATGGTAACAGTGAAGAAAATCACCACAGAAAACACATGGAGGGCTGGGAAGGTAGCTCAGTGGTAGAGTGCTCGCCTTGCATGCTTGAGGCCCTGGGTTCGACTCCTCAGCACCACATAAGCAGGAAAAAAAGCCAGAAGTGGCACCGTGGCTCAAGTGGTAGAGTGCTAGCCTTGAGCTGAAGAGCTGAGGGACAGCACCCAGGCTCAGGGTTCAGGCCCCACAACTGGACCCAAAAAAAAAAAAGAAAAAGAAAAGAAAAGAAAAAAAAACACATGGAAAACAATGAAAAAGCATCATAGCATTGGCAACATACAGCTCAGTGAACTCGAGGACATCCCTAGTACAATCGGAGATATTAACTCAGATGCACAGAACCTCCTGGTATATAATCAGTAAAGATAGTGTTGAACTCAAAACATTGTTAGCCAACTAGATATGATCATATGTTGCTTCATCCAGGAAGAACAAAACATATTTCTTTCAAGCTTCTCTTTGTTGAAATACTCATTAAGATAAGCCACATTCTGGATCATATAAGAAAGCCTAACAGAATTGAATGCACAGAAATCATGCAATGTCTCCTCTCAGACCATAACAGAATTGGCCAGAAACCAAATCTAGAAACCTAATGACCCCAAACTGTGGAGTGTCAAGATTAAACAGTACACTTCTGCGTGTGTGTGTGTGTGTGTGTGTGTGTGTATGTGTGTGTGTGTG